CTGTTATCCACGTGAGTCTTAACATCAAAAATAACGTCGAAAAAGATACGACTTTGTTGTTTTTTTTTCTCTCTCTCTAAAAGTCTGGGCGGCCATGCGATTTTCTTCCGTTGCATTTGGGTTGCCATACCTGTTGATTGAGTTATTTTATAACACTGAGGGAAAACTAATTGTGAAGTTCCGAAGAAACGGAAAGACGTACGAGATGTTTTTTTCAAAATTAAAGAGAAGGATGATGGTGATTGAAATTAGCATAATTACTCCTTGCACGAGCTGCACGCATTTATAAAATACGTGCGTCATCTAGTTATGAAAAACCATCTGCTGTCTTTTAGTTTTGCCATGGATGACATGAATGAGATTTTCCTTCGTGTTTTAGACAGTATTTAGTTGTTTTTGTTTTGGAATAACATCGACAATGGCGTAATATAATGAAAATATAATTCAGTGGTGGAGTCATGAAAGTAACCAGAAAAGCCATTTGAAAGAGATGTTTGTTTACTCCAACTATTAGCAACATTTGCCTCTTGGAGACAGCGTACCAGCACAAAGGAACGAGGAAGAAAAGTGTAAGAAAATAAAAATCGGTGACAGCGGCAGTGTCTAAAGGACAAACCACATCGCAAGCCCTGAACGAAGTCGAAAACAGGCGACATTTCTAAACAGAGTCCCAGTCCACTGCATCACACCTTTTTACTCGGACGCGCTCGTTTCACCGTCCAACGTTTATCCGCCCTTGTCGCTTGGGCGGTGTACGGTCACGTGATTACCAAATTTTCGAGGATGGGTAGATTTACTTACCCATTCTTATAATCATAATAGCCTGCATAGCTTGCGTTTTTTTGTTTCATTTAGTTATCGATTTTCATAATCACTTCTGAAGTGTTTTTTTGGTGTTCTCCGTAGACGATGCAAAATTAGAAAAAAAGAAGAAGAAGAAGAGAAAGAAGCGAAATGCTGCAATTGTCTCCATTGAAGAAGGCGAAAACCAAGAAGATTTAACAAGCGATCTGAATGAATTTCCCATCAACGACATCTCGGTAAAAGAGACTATGATTTCATCCAACAACACCTCAGTAAAAGAGACTATGAATTTATCTTCTGAATGGAATTCTTCAAGTATTGGTCACACTCGCTCTTCATCTTACCCCGGTAACATTACGGTGGTCTCCGAAGGCTCGGCAGTAAAATCTTCTCTTGTGAACGGACAAGAAGTTGTATTTACTGAGATTACTAAGTCAATTTCATTGCCTGATAACTCTGTTGCCAAGGAAAACATTGAGTTAGGTAATTCGACAACGAGTGGAAGTAGAAGTTTTAAATTTGAAGACTTTTTAGAACGAGAGACTATAAAAACTGGATCTGATACTGAGGGAGAGGGTGTGCAGGAGGCACCCTCAGGGGAGGACAAGGGTAATTTTGTCTTCGAAGCTGCAGATCTGTTTTTTAATCATCCTAAGGTTGGTTTTGAAGAGGAGAACTCATTTCAGATTCAAAGTGACCTAAAGACATCGTTAATACCAACCAGTTCAGAAGAAACTAATGATTCCGTACGTATCGCCCAAGGAAGTTCTATGCTACCCAGTGAAGATTTGCCTGAAAGGAAGCATGAGTTTTGTGGTGAAAATTTTGGGTCAAAATCTTCAAGTGCAGTAACGTCGGATTTGTCGAAAGAACATAATTTGTCTTACTCAAAACAAAACTATAACTCTGCCAATACGCGTAGTTTAGCAGAGAAAGATAATGAGAAATCAAATTCCTCTCTTGAGCACGCAAAAATACCTGGTTTAGTAAAGGAAATAGCTGCCGATCCGGAGGCAAAAATTAGAACTATGCCACCGTACCTCAACAATGCAACTGAAACCAGTCTTCAAGCTAATAACGCTGACACAGAGGAACACCAGGATCGCAGGAAAAGTCCTTTAGAAATACAAGATCAGCAGAAAACATCGGAATGTAAAGACCTGTATAAAGACACAAGTAGTTCTTTGGATTATTTTGATTCAGCGCAAAGCCCTGAAGCAGAGCCCAGTGCAAGTGATAGTAAGTTTGAGCCTGTCATATTGTTGGACAGTGGAGAATCTCTTGTGCCTGTTGCAGAAGGTGATGTTACGTCTAGGACTGGTACCCAGTCCATTTCCTACTACGCGCCAGACGTTTCGGGAGAGAACGACCGTGACTCCCTCTCAAGGTTAGAATTTTAACCGCTGAATAACACACGAAATTCGGATGGGCGGGGGGGGGGTCATGTAGTAGCTGCTCGGAAGAGAAGTCACCGATGGTGCGTTTCCCTGACCCCAAACAATACTAAAACAATTGGAAGAATGACATGTTATTGTTTCCTGCCTCCAATTAGGAGAGACCTTTTTTCCGAATGGGACAAGAAAGACTACTATACCCTGGGGGGGATAGCTCTCGATGAGTCTCTGCATGGGTGGGGAAGGGAAACGTCACTTTACTATAAGTTATGGGCCCTCGTTATTTCCTTGGGATTTATGTTTGCGACTGGGCTGTAGTTCCATTTTCAAAATAAGGCCAGAATACCAGATGTTTGAATTGATGCTGCAATAGCCTGCGAGGAAGCTCTCTGGGGCGCTCTGGAGGCGGGGAAGGAAAAGCCCAGAAGGAGAGCAAGAAGGAGAGCTTGCAACTGCGTGTCTGGAATTTAAATATCTGCATCGAAAAAGTCGATGCGAAATGCTGATTGGCGGAGATTTCATTAGAAATGACGTCATTACCCTTGGCACGTGTTTTTCAATGTTTGTTGACATTCGCGCTCGTTTCCGCTTCGCCCTGATTGGCGGAAATCTGACAGCTCAGTCGACGGCGCGCCTCAGGGGATCTAGGGGTGGAATTGAAGTTTCAGAGACGTAGTTGCAAGCTCTCCTTCCTTTTACCGCCCCGCCGCCAGAGCGGCCCATAGAGCTTGCTCGCAGGGTAATACTGCAATAAATGTATGCTTTCAAGAAACAATTATGGGACAGATAGGGAAACGCCCAGTCAATCCCTTGGGATATTTGAATTTCATAGTTATTTCTAGACCAATTAAACGCTTGAAATTAATCAGAAGTTGCTTTCCAGAGAGGTCCATAAAACTTTCATTAGGGTTGTCAAGAGTCATCATTACAATATTCTTTATTGTTTGTTTTCAGGCAGTCGCGCGGGGAGTTAATGACGTTTCAAACATACATTAATATGTGCGCACGTCTCAGAACTTAGACTTCCGGTTAATAGACCTTTTTACCGATACGGCGGCGGGCCATATTCAATTAATTGGATTTAAGGAGTATTATGGGATGCCTGGGGGGCGTGAGCACGATCTGATATACTCGCACTCTTTTCGAGCCAATTTTTCTTTAAGTTTTCCTAGAAAAAGATTGTAATGGGAAAAAAAGATCGTTGTGCCGTGTTTGGATATAAAAATGATCGCCTTTTGCCCGAGAAATAAACATGGAAGTTCTCTTTTTGCCCGAAAAGCGCGCGTAAATAATGAGCGAGTGCCCTCTGGGCATCCTATAATACTCTGCTTAAATCTAATAAATTCAATATGGCCGCCGTATCGGTAAAAAGGTTTCTTACAACCTCTAAAAATAACTTTAGCGAAATTTACACATCGCGGCCAACGATTTAAGATTTCATGTCTCGTTATTCTGTCTTGAGACTTTACAACACCACAATTTGAAAAAGTCGCTACCGTTTGAGGAGAATATGATTAAACAGCTGGTTTTGTAATTATCTTACAGCCCTAGCTGGTCTTTTGTTGAAGACTCCGAGGGACTCATTGAAATCAGAAGCGAGCCTCTTTTGAATAGCAATGGCAGCTCTGTTGCCATGGCATCAGATGCCTCAACTGCTGCTGCGCTGGCGGCTTGCTCTGATGCCCAGAGAGGAATGGACAATATGGCCAGGTAACTAATTTTCTTTACCGTACATTATTTGTAATTGCAATTAGGAGAGTTATGGATGGAACCGTTGGTAACAGTATGGTTGTTGTTGTTTGTTTACTTAGTGGCCTTATTACGATGGGAGCGACCATGACCGGAGATCAAAATGTGCGGGTGAGTTGACTTCATATCGTGTGCTGCTTATCACCTTAGGACCTGTTTACATGGAGGTGGGGGACCCCAGGTATGTGAGGTAACCCGCTTAGGTGGGGTAACCCGCCTGTCCATATAATCTCTCATTTTAATTTGATCACGTTTACATGAGGGTTACCTCACCTACCTGGGGTCCCACACCTCCATGTAATCAGGCCCTTAGAATACCGACACATACGTTTCATGAATAGATAAAATGAATAAGTATTTATCAACTAATTTATTTGTTAGTTTGTTTATTTATTTAATAGCAATTTATTGGTTACCACATCTACGAAGTAGTTCTTCGTTTACCATTCCTGGGGCCCGTTTCTCAAAAGTCCCGATAATTAACGGGCCCGGAAAGCTGTTAATGTTGCAATCAATATAGGGGCCTCGATAGTTTTGCAGGTAACATCATACAACTATCAGTTAACTGGGTTAGCTAGGACCGGCGCTTCAATTCCTGGGATTTGATTTAAATATTTGATAGTTACCGTGAATTTCGAGAAACGGGCCCCTGATCGAATTAGAATTTTGGAAATTTTTTGTTTTTGAGGAGAGTTGAAAACCGGAGTACCCGGAGAAAGCAAGTACCACGACCAAGAGCAAACTCAAGCCACATAAGACACATAAGGCTGATATGGGGTCGCCTCCGGGATTCGTTTACAAGTCTTGTGGTGATAAAACTTGTAGTCCCTTTTTGGACAACTTATAAACGAAACGGGAAAGACCCTTATTATCCCTTGGAGGGCGGCGTTTCAGCAAAACTAACATGAAGTAGTGTTTAGTCACAGCATCATGTAGATGATACTTGAAGGAAGGTTAATAATAAGTTGACCGATAAGTTTGACATAATGAACCTCGCCATATGCTGGGGTAAAGCTTTAAAGAAACTGATACTGCATCGGTTGGGATGTAATTCGCCAAAATTTGCCAGGTTTTTCATCTTTTTTAAACCATGGAAAGCCGGCAAACATCAAAGATGACTTAAAAGAGCGGTGTTTATATGAGAAGTTCTCTGACAGTGCACAATCCTTTGTTTTTTTGTTTACAAATTTGAAAGACGCGAGCAGTCTTCTTTTTGCTTCAAAGTCGCTGGAGTAAGACGCGCGAGCCGCTAGAAACGAGGGAGCTAAGCCCGAGGAGGAAGAACAAAAATTTTTCTAATCTCGCCCCAGTCTCTTTCGCGCTCACTGTCTAAGAACTTTACAGATCTAAGAGAAAAGTGGACGTAAGCAGTCCATTAAAACATTTCTATTGGTCACTTGGTTCTAAATGATAGGAGTGCTATTGAACGTTGTGCACGGCTAAGTCCAAATAAGCTAACAAAATCATCTAACAAAGACGTCCATTGGGCTTCAAAACCATTGCACTGTATTAACCATGTTTAACTGTAAAGTGATTCAAAAGGTAACTCTTTGAGCGCTGATCTGTTAGAGCGAATGACATATTTTATCGCTCGAAAGTTCAGCTTCTCAATATCTCTACAGCGGCCAATTTATTTTACCAACTCAGTTCGGCGACAAGACTAACTTTTTGCTATATATTGGGGGCTTAGCGTTGTGTTTTGAATTTTTGCAGAGAGATGACCACAAGAGGCACGACGGCATGACTTCAGGTAAATTATGCCCAACTCCTAACTGACATTTCCGGTTTTTTGGATTAAGAAAGTCTAAAACAATTTTCTTTATGACCAAAATATAATTTATATTCGATATAAAAATGGGCAGCTTGAGTTAGCCTAACGCTAATTTTAGTCTCACTCTCTACTTTTCCCCAGTCCTACTTACATCGTAGCTCAACGTAGCTTTGGAAGCGTCGCACAGGAACTATTAAGAACGGCGTGCTCAGCCAAAAACAGTAGAAACCCGCGAGTAAGAACCTGCATTTTCCCAAGTTAGCCTAAACAGATTCTTACATAAGAAATAATTAGCACAAATTTATGCTATTTAGGTTCTTAAATAGATTCTTATTTTCCGAGGAAAAAATGCTTTATAGCTAAGAGTATAAATTAGTGGTATTTAGCCTATTCATTTTATATAAAATGTGCATACTATTACATTGCACTTGGAGTGATAAGGCACCTTTGTCTTCAAAGAGGATCCTGAATGCTGACTTATCTCATTTACCCAATTTTTTAAATAGATTTTAGAAAGTAATAACCTCTTTCAAATTTTAAGCTATACAGGTTCTTGTATCGAGGGGCCTTACAGGTAGATTTTAGTCTAACAGGTTCTTAGTCACGGGTTTTTACTGTATGCTCTTTCACAGGAGACAAGACTGGCCCGATCCTTTGCATGTTGAAACCGGTTTCTCATCCCATGCCCATATTGGACTTTGCGCTCTTTAATGTTTATAAGTCAATGATAACAATAATTATGTAATTTTTTTTCCAAAGCTGAACTCAAGCAAGCCATGGTGTCAATGATGCTCAGGAAAGACGAAATTGAAGAACAAAACAGGTTTGTTTACTCATGGAGAAACGCCTGCCTGACACGAGTGAAGCTGGAGCTCGCGATTTAACTGGCCAGATGTAATAGTCGGCCTTGTGCTTAAAATATGCTGTGTTTCGTTTTCACACGGCACAACACGAACGCAAGCACAAGCCCAGCCGGGTGCAAAGAAAGTCAGTTTTACGGCTTCCCATTCGGGTAAGCTCTAGCTAGCATGTACTAGCCCAAGATGTCATTTTAACTAGCCCGAAACATTTTGTGAAGAGCAGGATTGATTAGATCTCTTCTGTAATTTGAATTCCCCAAAAACTTCACTTGCCTATTGGGCAAGTTAAGAACAGATTTCACTCCCCTGTTAGCAAAATCCACTAGCCTCAGGCTATCAGACACGACTTTCTATGTACACTGTCCGGTCACAAGGAAAGACGAAATATTGATAGTTGTGCATGTGATTGCGTTCAGAGCGTTTTTACAGTGAAATAAGCGCCCTTATCCTTGCGTCTCCTCATTCAATTATTGAATGAGGTTGAGTATCATCTGAAGAATTATGGAGATCGAGGTAACCTGAGATCAGGCTCTATTCTCGTTTTGCTTTGACCGTTAGAGAGAATGTATGAGAACCGCTAAAATTGGGCCTGATCTCAGGTTAAGATCGAGGAGGGTGTCGAGAGGTCGACTTGTAGCAAGTCTAGCTACACAGGAATGTTCAGTCCAGCAGGTATTCTTTGAGCTGAGTTGTATTTTTGCTGTTCTTGTTATTTTTGTGCCAGTAGTTCGGCTATTTTTTTTTTTTTTCGCAAAACGTGTTCTCCAACTTTATCAAAACAACTTAGCTATCGCAATCTCGTCCCCAGGGCGATAGCCATCACTGTTGACGTCATTTTGCAGGATATCGCAAACGTCTTCTAAATAATGCTTAACGTTAGCTGGTTATGAAGAATTATCCTAGTGATTTGAGGCAATCTATCTTGCGAGCAGACTGAGGCTACATTTTCGCGGCATGAGCTGGGGTGCGCACGCCAGCTTATCAAGCGAAAATACAGCCTTTGCTCGCAGGGTACGGAGCCAATCAGAAACGGAGGAAGGTTTTGAATGAATAATAAACCACGTTAATTGTTGCTTTTAGTTACTCTGCTTAAATTTTCCGTAGGAAATTGCAGAGTCGTTTGGATGAAGAATGCCAGAAATCTCAGCAGCTTGACTCTGAGAATGAAAAGCTTCGAGAGGAGATTAAACAACAAGAAAACTTCAGCGCAGCCAAGATAGCGTCTCTTTCAAGGTGTGAAGGAATATCCAGAAGGTGTAAAATGTAGACGGCTACGCCGTAAAAATTGTCTCAACTTGACCAAGTTGACTGGATTATCTGGGATGTTGATTTTTGAAGAAGAAAGCTTTGAATGTTACAAAGAGAAAGGAAAGACAGCCTTCTTCTCTTCCTTTTTCTACAAAACTTTTTAGCTGACTTTTTTGTTTTTGGAAGGGACGCAAGAGAAATGTTCCCAACTACCCCGTTAAATCCCACGTTTTAATGTATTGGTCGTGGTTGTATGCACTGTGGAAAAAACAATTTGTTTGTTCGTTTGTTTGTTTTCCCCTGTACCCGCTGCGTGCTGAGTGTCTGGAAATCTCATAACCACTCTTCTGGTTGTATTGGCTATTAATTTTCATGGCGAGACTAAATTTTACTTCTCCCGACATAAAAGGCGAGAAAGAATCATTGCCATTGGAGCCATTATTTGCTTATTAGCTCATTGTTTTTGCCTCGTTCTTTGCTACCTTAGCCTCCCTTGCAAACGTTCTTAGGGCTTCGTCACGCGTCTGCGAAGTCAAAAGGACGTCAGCGTGGGAGGCTATTTCGAACGTTGCAATCGTGGTCGCTTAAAGGCTTTATATAAGTTTTAAAAGGTTTCATGTGACTGATTTGCAGAGAAAACGAGCTCTTGAAGCATCAGCTGAAGAAATACGTTGGAGCAGTACAGGCGCTGAGGAGTGATCTACAAGGAAACAAGTCAGCTGTAACAGCGGAAGGTAAGGGTGTGGTCTTGTTTTAGGGGTACTATTCTCGTTCTTCAAGGAGCAGAATCAGCGAGATTTACTACTACTACTACCAATACCACTACCACTACCACCACCACCACCACCACCACCACCACCACCACTACCACTACCACTACCACTACCACTACCACTACCACTACCACTACCACTACCACTATCACTACCACTACCACTTTTTGGTTACTTGAGAAAAATTGCTCTGAAACCATTATGGTTTGCCCTCATGTCAAAACATAAACTGATCTCTATCTCTTGTTAAATACATTAATTGTTAAGGGGACCGGTTGAGGGTAAATTCATGGCATCACTGGATTATCGCCTTAGATATAGTCTTCTCCTTGCAGTTTTGTCTGGAATAAGGCAAGAAGAAATTCTACCTCCTTTGCCACCAGAGCAAGCGACAGAGCATTCGAGGCAAGTTTTTTATTTGTTCGCTGTTTTTAATATGGTAGCAATCAACTTAGTTCTAATTAAAAGGAACAATCTTTGACTAAACATCATTGTTTTACTTTTAATTGCAGCGAAGAGGCAGAAGAATACAAAAGGAAGTTAATTCAGGTAATAATGGTGAAAAAGTGAAATGTGACTTCATTTACTATCGATTACTCATGCGTTAATCGTCCCAGATGTTTAGGAGACAGCTGTGCCTTGCGCATCTGAGGTCAAGTACGATGAAGCATGCACGGGGGTGAGAGAGCGTTCAGTCAACAAAAAGTGCGGCATAAAAAGCGCGCGAAAACGACCAAATGTACTCAATCGTTAGTAGCCTGCATGGCAGGTGCAAAAAAGGGAGGGGGAGGGGGAGGGGGGAGGGGAGAAAAGCGCGATCCCTACCCGTTTCGACGGCTGCTACGCAGGCTATGCAGACAGTTGAAAGCAGGGCGGTTTATCTGCTCTGGTTGAAAGGCGTTCCAAACGCGGGAGACTAAACAACTATCAAAAGAGCGAAAAGAAACTTCACCTATCACCGAGGTTTCTTAGCACTTTCTTCTGTTTTATATGGAAGGTTGCGGATTTACATGGTGAACTACTGGAATTCAACGAAAGGCTACACAAACAAGTTAGTTATTATCAGTTTCAAGTGAGAAGACTGCGAGAAGAACTCGTTAATCTCAGAGGACCGGTAAGTTTAGGCAATTCTCTTAGAGTAGGAGCGAAATTTTATGAATCACAATATGATCCATACTGAACATTTCGCTCCTACTGTTATAAGAACTTGGATTTTTTTTAGCAACCAGTCAGTGTCTAAAAATTCATTTCAGAATCGCGTTGACAAATTGGAACCAATCAGTTCCATTTGCCGAAAACTGAACGGCCGCGAAACCATGAAACTGGTATCAAAGATAGGTTTTGAACAAGAATTTCCGTTTGGAACATCCCTTCCGGAAAAAAAAAACAGAACTGCCTTTTCAGATGTTCCGTTGCTCCCGGAAATTTTCCACTGGAGACTCGTGTACCATTTGCATCCCGACTGGAATTAACAGAATGTATTGGTAATTGGAGAGCACCCACGTTGACACTGACGGGTTACTTTACACTGCGTTTAACTTACGAGGTTTTGTTGCCCACATGCTTCATCGTTCATCTATTTATCTATATTTTCGATTTCTTTCCCAGCTTCCAGAAGATACAGAAAGTCTTAGTGATTCAACAAGCCTTGCGGACTTTGACCCCACAGTCATGTCAATCGGTACCAGACCCCTAGTGAACGTATGGATACCATCTGTATTTTTGCGTGGTCGCTCATCAAATGTACATCACGTGTATCAGGTACGACGGGGCTCTTATGCGAATTTTATTTTGTTGCTTTTTATAACGCAACCGCAAAGAAAAGATTGTTGATTCAGAGTGTTGAGCTCAAATGAAATTCTTAGGGAAATTCGTAGGGATAATGAAATAAGTACAATGCGTTGTCCTAATATTAGGCAAATTAAGTCAAGTTTTAATATAGTCTGCGTGATGGGAGAAAACAGGAGATTTATTTCCAACTTGCACTGTCATTTTTGGTTGCTAATTCCATACGCAAATGACCGTTGGCTCTCGTTAAGTTCAATTAGCTTTTAAGCAATCAGTTGTTTTGTTTGAACATCAGCTTGCAACAGTTCTGACAGTTTACTGTTGCCGTGTGACAACAATGTTGCCCGCTGAAAAGCTTTGTGGAGGATGAAAGTTTCTTTGTTAGATGTCATGTGACCCACAAGTAACTAGAGCGCGCTGTTTGGAAACTGAAAAAAGGTAGCTATGTAACAATGTCAGTTTTGTATCATTAACATTACTGTAACTTTTCTTTGAATTCCTGCAGGTGTACGTAAGAATAAAGGACGACGAGTGGAACATTTATCGAAGATATTCGCAGTTTTTTGAAATGCATAAAAATGTAAGTGTGACCCAGAACGAGTTGTAAAAGGTCAGTAATACAAATCCATAGGCACAACTTTAAAGTTAATTGGAAATCGTCACGGGAAGGCGAAGATCATGCGCGGGAAGGTCACAAATTCTTAACTCTTACCCGTCTTCCCCGTCTACAATTTTCAGTTGGATACTGCGTTTTTGTTTCGTCACGCAATGCTCTTCCTTAAGAAGGAGAAGAAGGAGGAGCGTTGCGTGACCGAGTGTTTTTATTTGTATGGTTGGATTTCTGTAAGTTATTGTTTTTCTTTATCGCTGTTGATTGTGACATTTATTCTTTGTGATATTTTTTGTAGTTACGGAGAAAATCCCAAGTAGTAGAAAGCTTTAAATTTCCACCAAAGAAGACGCTTGGTAACAAAGTAAGTACAAGTATACGTGTGGACAGGGCCTCGAGTCACATTAACGGCGAACGGCAAACAACAGACTCATTTGAGAATTTCTCAAAATAGAAAATGAGCAGATAAAAATAGTGTAAAACAATTCCTATAGATGAAAATAACGTAAAACTACTTACAGGGTTCGTACAGGGTCTTGAATTCTTGAAATAGTCTTGAGATTTGACCAGCAACTTTCCAGACTTGGAAAAAGTCTGGAAGATAGAGATAAATTACGGAGAAAATGAAAAAAGTCTTAAGTTGTTGTTGTTTTTTTTAAAGCTTCAAGAAGCGCTTTATAAGAGAACTTGTTTTCGTTTTGGTCAAATCTTATTCAACCTCGCCCGTATGTTTGCAGTGCACCACAAGAAAAGCTTTGTATCTGCGTTTTTTAAGGTTACTGTTGATCACCTATTTGTTAAACCTTGAGTCTAGAAAAAGAAGTTACTTTTTGGGAAAAAGTCTGGAATAAGTGTTGAATTTTGGATCTAAAAAGTTGTACGAACCCTGTACTTATTTTTTGTAGAAGTGAAGAATAGTTTTAAGACAAGTAAAGGGAAAATATGATCACGGAATACAAATACACGTTCACCGTTTACCGTTTGCCGTTTACCGTAAGCGTGACTCTAAATCTCTCTATGTTTATGGAGGTGGGTCTTTTTCTCAGAGATTTTGATGCTGGCCGTAACCTTACAGTTGGTTTCAAAATCATCTCTCACACTCTAGGATTCAGAACCATTAATTAGGGCGGGGGGACATCTTCCTAGAGATTGTCTCAGTTTTGTTACTGGGAGGTGGAAAAAAACGAATGCACCAGGCCAAGTAATGGAGGTGAAAAATATCTCTTTTTTCTTACAGGACTCTCGATTCGTGGAAGACCGCAGAAGACTTTTGCAGGATTATTTAAGAAGAGTAGTGAATTTGTACGTAACGGAAGATCGGGAATTACGTGAAAACACCTCAAAAGCAGTGCTTCTACAAATTATCCCGTTCTTTGCGTAAGTAGGCGAACTGATTAAATGCTTTTGGAGCCTTGACTTTTCTGTTTTGTGTGGCCTGTTTTTAACTTCAATGAATTTATAGTTTATTTTTTTTATTTTTCTTTTGCTCACGCAGTGAACCGTTTCCACCACAAAAAGTCAAGAAGGAATCTTCTAGAAGACGTTCACTGAATTACACTGGTCTGTGAAACAAGATGAATAGCGTTTGAATCTTCGTCATGAATTTGACAGGGCTGGGTCACGGCACGGCTACGTGGAAGGCATTTAAATGGGCAGGGAACCGTGGGGAATCAACCCAAGCCGCATGAGAAAGGCTATGTCTGTCTGTCTGTCCTTACTAGCTTTTACTCCTGCATATTTACTTCCGTCTCAGTGGCTTCCAGTGCTCGCGTCTATTTATTCACTTCCGCTGTTACAGTGATATGGGCATCCCCGCGTTTTGGGCATCTCCATTCCCAAAACCCTGGTGATATGGGTATCCCCTTCTCATATTACCTTAGCGATTTGGGTTAGGGTTAGTGTTAGTGTTAGGGTTACAGGGGATGCCCATATCACTAGGGTTTTGGGAATGAGGAATGACAATATCACTGTGACACCGCTAAGGTTGGAATATGGCACAGAACCTATCCTATTTATGACACTCCACTTTCGAGACCGGCGCGCTGCAGCTTTGCCCGATTACAGAAATCGCGCCGGAGTCAGCGTTCGTATGAAGCTGTAGGTGGTATTGTTTCCGTGTCGACGCAAGAGTTAACTGGTATGGTGTTTACCTAGCTGAAATTAAGTACGCGCGTGTGACGGGCTTTCCCCCATTCTCGCGCGCTTATCGAGTTCTGGTGCGCCTTAAGTTCCCTTCCCCTTGAAAAGGGCCAGCCCCGCAACTTCGTTCCCAGGGTCCTCTGTTACTCGTTTCCCGGACCCTGGGAACGAGGTTGACCTACCACCCATCCCCAGGCTATTAGGTCAGAAGTACTTTATTGACGAAATCAGAGCAACGGTGAACTCCGAGACTGAAACCAAACTGTTGTGCATACAAATGAAGGTGGATCTATGTTTTGCAATCGCCTATAATCTTCTCCAATTTCACTCGTTTTTCTTGCCTCCCTTGTCTTTTTTATTTGTATCATAATTGCATTTGTATTCTCTTACACTTTTTAAGAGATTATTTTAAATACTTAGGTAATTATCAGTATGGCCCGGTAGTTTGGGAGGAAAGTGCATAAAATGCGTCACTAGCTAAGAAATAATTTAGAAAAGGACCAGTTAGAAGCCTGGTACTACATTCGTATTCACAATCCTTTTTATGAAGTCCAACAGTGTTTTGAAACTTTTACAAACAAGATTTTTAATAGCCCCATTTTGATGTGAATATCAAAATTGTCTAGTATGTGAAATCCTTATCTAACACTGTCTCTTCATGACCGAGTTTTATTCAACATGTTTGGTTGTGTTCTTTCACGTTGTTATAAATGGCTACTGTTCTTTCGGATTTGAAAATAATATATACGAATAACCTTATGAACAAAATTATTTGTCATATTAACAGGGAAATGTAAAGCAAATGCACAGTTGTTTAAGAAGGCATTCAATTAATATTTTACCGCTGTAATAGTCAATCTTATTATTCAAAACATGAAAAATACCTAATAAATAATAATACCAAATAAATACCTAATGAATAATACCTAAATACCGTATTTATTCGAATAAGCGCCCAACCTCGAATTAGCGCCCACCTCGAATAAGCGCCCATCTTAAAGGCAGAAAAAGTTAATAAGCGCCCAACCTCGAATAAGCGCCCACCCCCTCCTCCTCCCAATCAAACTCAAATAAGCGTTCACCCCCACCCCACTCACTTGAGTGAATAAATTCTAATCAGAGACTTCCCCGAGGACGGAGTTTTCTTCAGAGTATTTTATAGAAACCTTGCTTTGTTACTTCTTCGCGTTTTGTTAGTGGCATTTATTGTTTTGTTGCAAAATAAACATACTTCACTTGCTGAAAATGGTGAAAATTTAATAAGCGCCCAGCCTCGAACAAGCGCCCACCTCGAATAAGCGCCCACTCTCAAGGTCCAAAAATTTAATAAGCGCCCAGGGCGGTTAATCGAATAAATACGGTACCTAAACTTAAGTGGTTCAAAATTGTTGTGTAACAGCCCACGTTCGATATATTAAAATTCTAACATGACTCCGAGGCTTTTTGGTCAATTTTCTATTAGCCTGAGTATCAGGCCTTCCTAAGGGGCTAGGGGAGAGGAGAAGAGATAGAGGAGATGTGAGAAGGGGGAGGGGTTCCCCTTAGGAACGCCTGATACTCAGGCTAATTTTCTATATTTGGATTGGTTTTCTTTGTGCTCAAGTCTCCTGTGGGAATTGCGAGACACTGGAGTCGTGAAAAATCTGCAATTTTGTCCCTAAAGCCTCGAAATCATGTAAGAATTGTTATACATCGAACGTGTGCTATTATTGCCAGCGAAGTAAAAAAAAAATCGCATCAAGCCGAATTCCTCACCTTGTTATAATCGCGATCCTTAGCAAACTAAAAGTGACTTGTAGAATGCAAATTATTTTAAACAGTCATTCAATACCGTTCTTTAAAGTGATAATATAATATAATATGTTGAAATTGTATTGTGGTTTTGTCCATTTTAATGCAATAAAACATTTTTTTTTTTCAATTTTGCCTCGTTGCGTTTACTTCATCCCTGAAGCCAGAAGACAAACATTAGACATTGTTTGACGTGGCCACTAAAGTCAGTTGATTGGTCAGTCTCAGCGTCCGTCAGTAGAGTTTGTTGCACAGAAGTTTTACCTCTTAAAAGGCTTAACTAGAAATCATTTGCTTCAGAACCACACAAGCAAAAGCAAAATTTGGTCCAGGCAAGCATGCAAGAATACCCTTAACACAGTAACTAGGGGAGGCTGCAAAGTCTGATGAACCTGGATTTACTTTTTTCCTTATAGGAAGCAAGCATTTGTTTCTAGCGCCCCTGACATAGGAAGCATCTACATACGCGGAGTCCCAGCCTCGTTCCCAGTTTCCCCCGGCAATTTCAGGCGTGACGTCAACCATCAAAATTGTCGAGGGTGGATAGGCCTTTTGCACGATGACGTCATTTTACTACTACGACCAGAAGCCTTTTCCTTTTTCCTTTCGCATTTAAATTTAATAGTCCCAGCGAGGTTTGAAAAGCAAAAGCCCTTAGTTTTCAAAAGCAAGAAAAACCCTGAAGGATTCTGCCTTTTGTTGAGCACTTTATCTTTAGATGATAATGTTTCGTGGTACTGATAATTAACAATTATTGGATTGAGGCTGATGGGTGCAGGTGACTTAAAGAATTATACAGATCACTTAACGCCCTTTGACGCTTATATATTTCGACTTAAGGATAAGGTGCTCATGAGCTGTGTAGAACTTGTACTGATTTAGTATTATCGCTGCTTGTAGAGAATCTAAGTCACCACCTCGTTCCCAGAGCATTTCCCTTAGAATCTGGGACGGCCTAGAAAAGCCCCTCCCACTTTCTAAGGCAGGAGCGGATGCTCTCGATGCTTCTGTTCCGAGACTCAAGAGCAAACAGTTATTGCAGGGACCACTTGGACAACCCGACAGCAGCAAAGAGAAGCCGGATCTTGATCGGGATCAACAAACAAGAAATTAGAGGCAAGGCTGATCGGGCAGCTATGAATGGTTAATTTATTTGCCTAATTTACCTATTCATAGTGGCCTGAGAAAACAGCCGTCATTTTCGCAATGCCACCACTGCTTTCCCCGCGAAATGACGTCTGAGAAACGAGCGCAGAAACTCCATACTGGTGACGTGACACTACCCATATCTGAATAGTGTTTCTGATTGGCTGAAGCAAAATTCCCACACAACCAGGAGCCAAGAGCCCGTGACCCGGGAGAGAGCAACTTCCAAGCGCTTGTAATTGGGAATTTTACGGACTATTTTTTTTTAGAACGGTTTTGGCGCGAATTTTGAATATCTTTTAAATTCCACAAACCAGTCAGCAAAACCTACAGACCCAAAAATGATTTTTTTTTTTTGCCTTTTAATAACGTGTAGTTTCAACCTCGTCCCCAGGGCGCTTTCTGATATATTATACTTCAAATGCGCTCATAGACATGGTGGAGATTCTATTTTCGCGGGAAAAAGTGCCCTAAAATGTGTCTAAAAATACAATGGTCCTTAAAAACGCCGTGACATGGGCCTAGTATGGGAGTTGCTCGCTACTGGTTATGGGCTCCTTACACAACACGACCCATCAGAAGTAGCCTGAGTATCAGACCTTCCTAAGGGGCTAGAGGAGAGGAGATTTTAGATGGGAAAGAGCGGGGAGGGGGGAGAAGAGCTCTCTCCCTTTTTCGCTTCCATCTTTCCTCTTTTCCCCAGAAACGCCTGATACTCAGGCTAGATCAGAAGCACTACCCAGATCCGGGTAGTGTATGCGTCACCAGTATGAAATTCTGCGCTCTCTCTTCGGACGTCGATCATTTTGCGGGAAACCAGTGGTAGAGCGCGAAATGTTAGCTGTTTTCTCAGGTTGCTTTCATAGAAGTCCGATCTGGCCTTGCCTTTTTAAAAAAGAAAAGAACCCTGGGAGACGAGGGTCTAAAGGGGAGGTGAATTAACCAAATTACATGGCCCCTCCCCGAATTAAGAAACTGGGAGGAAAGGGAGCTCCTCCCTCCTCCCTTGCGTATCGTTTGCGTCATTTGCGCGCCACCTTTTCCCCCTTTTCCTAACCCCCTATACCCCGCTCCCCGGCCCTTACCTTTCCAAAAGCCTACGGGTACGGCACAGGCTACCCAATGTTTTTACAAATGTTGTCTTTGGAAAATTTTTGGCTTCATTCAGATTGACTATCCAAGATCTGCTTTGGATCCAAAGGATATGCCGATTGTGCCTAAAAACATTTTGAGGCGGGTCTAAAAATTTTAGATATTTTTTAGGTTCACTCTTTTGCGATTCTGTTCCTGACTCTGATAAATTTACTCTCGTGAGCGGAGAGATATCTTTTCTACAAACCCTTTTCTTTTGATTGTTTTTATTTTTCATTTGGTGGGGCATTAACAATAACGTTTTAAAGCCAAAAATAGCAATTGCAAAGCACGCGAAAACAGACGATGTTGATGTTGTTGTTTAGTTGTAAACAATACACACAGAGCGGAAAACGCGTGTAGCAATCACGCAATGAATTATGGGGCCAGCAGCGGCCATTTTTTGCTCCAAGGAAGAAACACGTTTATTTTATAGTGAGTGTTTCTCAACCATTAAACCAGGGTCTTGAGGCTCAATCGCTTCCTGCATATTTTTACCGGTCACCAGTGTACGGTTTGACATTTTAAGGGAATTCATGTATATTTTCAAACGGAAAGCTATATCTGTTGATGGTGCAACTCAAGTTTATACGAACTCCGGCATTTTGAAGCAATAAGCTTGGCGTACTCAAACGGAAATCGAAAACCGCATTTTACATAACCAACGCTGCAGAGGACGCGAAGGTATTGGAAACACACTGGAACTGCTTTGTTTCTGGCTTTCTTAGAAGCGTAAGCTTAAGAAGAAAAATTGAAGAGCGGCCAAGATTTCCTGGTAATTCGTTACAATTCACTACAACTGACCCACGTGTGAAATGAGTTCGGTTGCAGTTCAAGTCATGCCGTCGCCGTCCGCGACGTTTTCCAAAGATTCACCGATCGCCAATAAATTGGCCTCGGATCTTGACGCAAAACTTGTGTCTTCATCTAAACAAGTTCTTCTTCAACGTATTGAGTTCAAACCCGCATCAAAAGCGGACGAGCAATACGAAAATTTGAAAAAGAAATACGTCCCACTGAATTCTCAATCCTCGAACTACATACATGGGAGTCAAGCTAAGCTTATGCGAGCTGAAGAAAAGACAAATTCAAACGAGGAATTGCCTTCTCCAAAGGTCGTTCTATTTCCGTGGAAAAATGTCCAAATGTCTTGGAAGCAGGTTCGAAGAGTCGGCCCCGGATTAAATAACATGGGGAATACATGTTTTTTAAATTCTGTCTTGCAAGTTTTAACATACACACCACCTTTGGTTAACTATTTGGCATCGAAAGAACACAGCGAGAAGTGTAAGTATGATATTAGCACAATGATTTAGGATTATAATTTTAAATTCTTATGTTTAAATCACAAGATGGATCAACAGTTTGGATTTAAAAGTTCTTTGTTTGAAGGAAACAATCCAAACTGTTTACTCATACTTGAATTCCGTTTATTGTTTATTTTCAAACTTAATCTTTGGTTTCCAACTAATTGTTCGGATCATCCTGATCACCTGAGTCATCTCAAAATGCGTTAGATGACCAAGACAATCGTATGCAAACACCTCTGATGTCATGCAGGGCAATCCGAATGATCCGTGCAGTTACAATTTATACTACTACATGAGAAATTTCTGCAATTTGATTGGCTTAGAGCTGTGGTATTCCAGCTTAATTTGAAATACCTACATGTGAAAATTACAAACCTTGTGTGGGTAGTAGTATAAACAAATAATAGCATGATTTCTAGTGATATGTGGCATAAATACCACTTGTGATATTTCAAAATTGTCTCGAATTTCACTCACCTTATGGCTCATGAAATTACGTATAACAATTTTGAAATATCACTCGTGGTATTTATGCCAAATGTCACTAGAAGTCATGCTATTATTTGTTTATACTACCTACCTAATAGAACTCACAGGTAATAATCTAAAATGCTAAAAATCATTTTATTTCTGCTTTTTTTTTGGACACCTGTTCAGCTTTTTATGGGCAGTTCTCAATTTTGAGATACATCGGCGATCACTAGCTCAGGTCAATTTCAGACCCAGTGATAAGGCCCGAAAACAGAAAAAACAAAACCAAACCTGTGCTCGGGTCTCATCATAGGATTTTATTTATTATTGTTAGTTAATCATCTTCCCTCCCGTAGACATTTTGTAAGTGTTTTAAGTAATGCTCCCCTCATGGCTTAAGAGCGAATTCCTTTGGAGACCTTCTGCACATACTCATTTCATAGTCGTAAACAATCAGGTGCTTGACAGTTTCATCTGAGCTCTAATACAGTGTAGCTTATGATCACAATTATTGTTTAAATAATTATAATATATTACTTTTTAAGGAATATGATTGCCAATCAAATTGTAAAAAATGGTTTTAGAATTAGCAGGAGGCACAGGAAACACTTCTCCTGAAAATTTGATTAGGGGGTTCATTCTGCCTCAGAGCAATTTATTTGGAAAGTTCCAATAAACAATTTCACAGCTTAATTCTGTAGGACTTTCTGGTTAACTGCAGGCTTCTGCTTCCAAGGCTAGTGAAAAAAGTCACAGTCAAGGAAAGTCAAGCGTACTCTCCAAGATTGCATTAATGAATCGATTATTTGAAAAATGAATCTGTTAGACATTAGCGCAACCAGTCTCAAATTCAAATCTGCATTCTTACATGAGTAATGAGCCGTGAATTTTTCACGTTGACTCCTCTGTTTTCGGTCAGATTGAAAAATCTTTGAATGGATGAAACAGATAAAAATAACATTTACACCAAATTCAGACATCAAATTCCTTAACTTCATCTGCATATTACAAAAGAGCAAATGCACTTGTCAAAAATCTGAGACTTGGTTTTTTAGTCTGATGTGTCAAGAAGCGATTCCAATCTTAATTGATTTCTTCCACTTCTTTTTTGGCCGACCTGGACTTAAATTTACAGAAACATATACTTTTGAAAAAGCTCGTCAATTCTGAAACACATTAGTAATTTAGATTTTTTAAAGAAATTGGCTGTAATCTGCAACTAGTAAGCTTTCAGAAAATGTACTGTTTGTAGGGGTAATTATTTAAAGCTACAATGGCTGGCGCGATCTGCACGAAGACGGTACTGAAGGTGGGATGATACCTTAAGCGGCACATACCCATCAAGGTCCCCCTGTTTTATCATAACACTTAGCACTTCTGATTTAAATGACTGTGACTTCAACTCCTTGTTGTTTTTACAGGTAGAACAGTTGGTTTCTGTATGCTCTGTGAGCTGCAGAAACACATCATAAGGACTTTCAGTCACCATCAAGGAGAAGCCATCAAACCCCTGGCAATTATTCAGAAGCTTAAATGTGAGTTGGAGTCTTTGTATCTTTTGATCTAAATTGAAGGCTTAAATTCTTTTTTTTAATTAATTCTTTTCTTCTTCAAAGACCCCAATGACAGTTTGGACAGCCCAAAAACCATTAACTTTAATGTGTGAATTAAACCACTCAAACTTGATTCAGGATTCAAGCCAAATTAGATAAAGTCAACTTCCGATAACTTGAATGTTCCAGGGAAATCAAAAAAAGTTCGAGTTAATTGGGAGCTCAAAGCGAATAACCAGAAATAAGAGAAAAAACAGTTTTTACTGTACCACAAACATTTTAATCACATTTAATTGTAGAAAATGTCAAGTGAAAATGAACAATGCAGCTTTCAGATTATATATCAGAATGAAATGTAAAAAGCTTAGCTTAAATAGAGCATGTGTTTCACCGTTTCGAGAGGTAAAGCTGTTTCACTTTAGATTTGAAACAAACAATATTAGCCTCCACAAATAAACTATATGGCTACAATACATCAGTGGTAAGTTCAATGTCTCGGATTGCATCTGGGGTAAAATTATATAGAAGTGATCTGAGGAGAACCAAGCTAAGAATTCCTTCGAATTGCGGGAAGTTCGAGTCACATTTGTAGCGAGGGTTCAAGTTATCGGGAATCAACTGTATGTTGGACTCAACGATTTAAACACTGGTCTTTTCATGTACATGTACTTAATGGTAAGAATTAGTTTCTCGGCATGAAAATTTTGATGTCTGAACTGGGTCAGCATGTTCTAGCCAGTTCCACTCTGACTGGTAGTCTTTTTTTTCTCAGTCATGCATCCTAAGTTCCACACCTTAGCCATTCTTGTAAATTTACTTCATCAATAGCCAACAACAACGTTGCTTCTCGCGACGACCAGAAATACGTCTGCAGTTCGTAGGCTAATTATTGAAGGGTGGCCTGGAATAAAGCTGCCCCATAAGTGACTTTTGGTAAACTGGTAGATTCTCCTTTCAATTTCTCATGAATTAAAGGGAGAATTTGATAATAAGCCTCCCCTTTTTGGGGCAAACTTTCATCGCCATTTCATTGTTTTGGGACACCAATATGGCCACTGTTACATCATGTGAAAACACCCTATTATTATGCCCCCAAAATTTCTGTTGCTTAGTAAAGGTTCTCTCTTCTTCAGTCATTGCAAAACATTTAAGGTTTGGTCACCAAGAAGATGCTCATGAATTCTTAAGATATGTCATTGATGGCATCCAGAAGAGTTGTCTAGCTGCAGATGGCTACACAGAGAAGTAAGTGATAAATTATGTTTAATACAATCTCCCTACTAGGCAGGGCTTCTGATAGGTCGCGGAAAAAAATTCAAATTTCGCAGGAATTTCGAGGGAATGTTAGGGGCAAACTTGGCCAAAAAGCAATCGGTAAAAAAAATGGCGGATTATGTGGTTATTTTCAAATCGATTGATTTTGTGCTAATCAGACCAGCGTTTTTAATGTTTTTCTAACAGAGGTCATCATTTGCTCTTTCAACAACAATACTCTCCAGAAATGAACCAATGGCAAAGCCTTTAACATCATGGCTAGTGCCCAGTTTTTCGCACCATAATCTACGCCTGGTAGTTTCGGGACGTTGTTTGCACATTTCAGTGACAAAGTTTCAAAATAAATTTACAAGTTTACAGCAAGTAAATAGCCCCAATAGCTGAGACAAAAATGCTGTACAGACATGTATTTGATAAAATTTCTACCAAATTTTGTGGTATTTTGCGTGTTTTTGTGAATTTCGTGGGATATCGCATTTTTACCTGAATTTCGCAGCTCCCCGACCACGCAAAATATCAGAAGCCCTGACTAGGAAGGCGGTGCATTTGTCTTCAGTGATGAGAATATACAAGTAGATGCTTCTCAACCATGACAAATGGTTTATGTTTGAACGACCTGTGCGGAGGTCATTATCTGAGTCGAATATTGATTTTGTTGCACTGTAGGCTTGACAGAATGTCAAAACAGACCACAATGGTACATCAAGTATTTGGAGGCTATTATAGAAGTCAAGGTAAGAATCATAGAATATATTTTTTACTAGCGTCATCTCTTTTGAAGATTGGCTCTATTAAATCTAGAATTGGTGAATCTTAGAGAGGTGTCCAATTAACGAAAATTAAATTAGTGAAGAACAGCAGGAACCAAATCTAGGTGTCCTTTGTCGTAGAAGAGTCCTCATAAGTAGAAAGTTGACCTCCAAAAAGTTTGAGGTTAATTGATACAATAAGTTGTGGATCCATTTTTTTCCTGGATTTACGCTCTTAGGGAAGGTGAAAAGTGTGCATTCCATTAAACCCAAGGAAATTATGTTCATTATGTTCATGCTATGGGCAAAATCTTAAGCCCAAAACACTTTTAGTTTACCAGTGTGCTTGCAATGTTATGTAATACAATGTATATGTTTTATCTATTTATTATGTTTGCTTTCAGTGCGATGTTTAAAGTGCAAAAACAATTCCAACACATTTGATCCTCTAATGGATATAATGCTTGATATTAAGGTAAAATTGTTAAATATCTTAAATGATAATTATTTATGCATATGTATAATCATGATTCAGTTACATTTTTAGATCATTCAGTAATAATATTACTATTTATAAACTAACTATATAACGTGAGCTCTGATTGGCCGAGAGGCATGTTTTCATGAGAGTATGTAAACATGGTTGTGGCGTCAAGATGTTTTGCTTGTTACACACGGAAAACGTTTTCTATAGCTTGAATGTGAATTTGTGGATAGAGTATTTAGATAGGAATAAAAGGCAATTTCCTCTAGGTAGTACATGATTGTGCTAATAATATTGTTATAGCCATGTGCTGTTTTCTGCTTTGCCAGCATTTACCATCTGTTGAGAAAGCGCTTCAAAGATCTGTTAAAATAGAGTTATTAGATGGAGAAAATCTCTATATGTGCCCAAGGTTTGTAATGTTGTTTTGTTAAATAATTTTGTTGTTGTTGTTGTTGCAGTTAATTTTCTTTATTTCAGTCCATTTTTGTTTTTTGTTTTTTCCTTTGTTTTAAATTCACTACCATACATGACCTTACCCAGAAACAATGAAAAAACAATAATTAACTGCAACATATACCACCATGTTTTATGGTTGCACACACAAAGAAATAGTGATTAGTAAATCTTAATTATTCTCTCACCTTTAAGGGCTATTCAGGGAAAATTAAGGAAAATTAAACGAAAGTCAAGTTAAAAAATAAGAACACTGATTTTGGCGCTGTTTCACACAGGGGCTTAACCAGAATTTAGTTTCCTCTGTTTGGCCCCGCTGGAGTACCAGGGGAACAAACTTACTTCATCTGTCCATCATGTTATTAATAGCCTAGAAAAAAAAGCGTGATTCTTCTATTCCATTGTCATTTTTTTTATTGCTTTCAGGTGTAAAAGAAAGGTTCCTGCCCACAAACAGTTTCTTATACACAGAGCACCAAACATTTTAACGTTACAACTCAAGAGGTACTTGTTATATTTTCTCTCCTTTAAGAGTAAACTGTTATGCTATACACACTGGCAAAAGAAGGTAAAAAACAAAAAACTGTTTTAAAATTACCAGGTAACTAGGTATATTGCTCTACCATTTTGTTCTTGGGCTGAAAAATAATTCAGTTTGAACAAATGGGTTGCCCTTTTTTCTCGCTTGCGATTTCGCTTCCCAGCTGTCTCCCTATTTTTCAACTGCTATGCATCCTAGAACTGTTGCTTCAAGCAATCAACAATTTCATCCCTTATGTCAAGAAGTTTTTTCGGATTACATTAGTTGATATTAAGAACTGTACACAGATGCGTCAGAGGTTCTAGATATCCATTCAAATCACATGAGGTCTCAGAAGACTTCACTCTCGCTGTAGCTGGTCTACATCTGTATTCATAATTTTAGGCCTAGATTTTTAATAGTTTTTTTTTCTTAGTAATACTTGATTTTTAAATTTATTTAATTTTTCTTAGTTGATAGTTAATGTTAATTATTTTTTATCATGTTCATGTCCATAGAAGATTTTTTCATCTTTTTCTTTCGACGAATTTTGCGAGCTTGCGCACGAGAAAAAAAGTTCTAATACTTTTCTCATTTACCCACTCGCACCTCGCTGAACTGGTGGTTAATAAATTCCCAGCGGTTCTTATTTTACGCACATGCTTGCTGACCTCTATACAGAAAATAGAAGGTCTGTGAACAGGCCACCCTCTCTCACATTTCCTGTGGTTTTGAAAAGGCAGAAGAATTTTTAGGTATTTGTTGGGACTTTCATCTGACCCCTTCACAGCTCTTACCCACTGCCCTTCCCGCCTTGGGAGCATTTTGTCACCTGGTCTTCTGGACGAGTGCATGTCTCTAACCTGTGATTACTGCTACTTATTACTTACCACTATATATGTTTTTCTGTCTCATCTCAGATTTGATTACAATCAGATTTTTGGAGGGAAGATATCTAAGCATGTTGAGTACTCTGAGTTCTTGAACCTGAGGCCATACATGACATCACCGGTAAGAAAAAGGATGTGTCTGTCACTGAACCCAAAATGCCAGGATTTGTCTCTCGCCTTGGCCTATGAGATACTCCATTGAATGGGAGAAATGATTTTGGTATTTTGGATAGATGGTGACTTAACTTTGTACAAGATGTGGTCACATATGTATTTTCATTTCCTCTTGATTCCATCACGATGATGCGTCTTTGCAGGGTTGTCACTAAGATTTCAAGTTGCCGGGTAAATACAACAAGTAGGCGGGGAATTAAACAGCTAAGGGTTTCTTTTGGTTCTGTTTTCTTCTATTCTCCTTTGCAAGTAGCCGGGGCCACGCCTGCCCTGTCAGCGATCTATCTACGATTTTCTTTGCGAGTTAAGCAGAATGGCAGAAAGTTTACATGAGATGCCCTTTACGTGCAGTAACCACAGTATAAAGATTGGAAAATCGCAGTAAGATTGCCTAGAAATCGTCACAAAATTCAACAAAATGGCATTATAAATCGCGCGAAAAAAAATGGGCTTTGACAGTGGTTCTTTCCGTGTGATATTTCAGGGTCCTCCAATCAAATACCGTTTGTATGCAGTTCTGGTTCACTCAGGATATTCATCTAACTCTGGCCATTACTACTGTTACATCAGAGCTTCAAATGGCGTCTGGTACCAGATGAATGACTCTATTGTAAGTGAAAAACATTGTCCTTAAACCTTGTTTTGATAACTCACTGAATTACAATGTATATTGACCTTTCAAGGTGCTTAGGTCCGTTTCTCGAAAGTCCCACCAACTTTTTGGGCCCGTTAAATGCAAGCATTGCGAATGTAAGACACCCATATATTCGAACCTAAAGGTTATACTTTATTTTCAAAGATGTTGCTTAGTTTTGTTCATTATGGACTCGTGATTGCAAACTGCAGAAACTGTTTTATTGACAGAATCACTTCATAAAAGAGGAATTTCTGGGCAGAAAGTTGAGATAATGTAAAAACTTGATAGTATTCTAAAATCATCTCCTGTTGGTCCCCTTTGTTACGAAATTTTTTTAGTAAGTTTAGGTATAGTTAACCTGGGAAACAGAGGTTTTTTTTCCGGGTGCCAGGTTCGTCAGTCGCAGGTTGACCAAACCGGAAAATGAAAAGCCTCTGGCACTATCAGTCGTTTTAAAAATGCTGATCAACTGATTTTTTTTCTTTTTATTGTCCACCAGGTTCGTCAAGTTGCAATGAAAGCTGTACTATCCCAACAAGCGTACTTGCTGTTTTATACCAGAATTAGTCCTTCAAATGAAACTTCCAAGGTTAGTTGGTTCTTTAGTTCAGTAAAGCTTTAAACCGCCCTTACGGAAACAAGGTCACGTATCAGTCCCTTTCAGCCCAGGCGGATGACGAAAAAGAATCGATTGACCTTCACCCCATCCAAACCTCTTGTTTCATTGGTCCCTATAACCTGCACTACTTATTGTTTTCAGGGATAGGGGCTTTGTTATGTCACCATCCCTATTGTTTTCTCAGCCAATCACAAACCTTGTTTGGAGTACTGTAGGTACAGGTCGGCCCAATAGAATAGACCGTTTCCTAGTTTCAAAAACTCTCACTTTCACAAGGAGGCTAAAAGATGAGTTTTACTTGCAGGAGAATAAAAATCAGTTTCATATCAATACCTTCGTACTTATCCTCGCTTTAAAACGGAGGCTTTGAGCAACTCGGAAATGGCCTATAGAGTGTTTTCACATGATGTCACGGTGGCCATATTGGTGTCCCAAAACAGTGAAACGGCGGCCATGTTGGTGTCCCAAACCAATCGTCTGGGAATTGAACTCTTTTCTTATGCAAACGCTTTGTTTTGTTCCAATAAATTTGCATAGTTCCTGGCCACGTAAGTGAAAACACTCTATTGCGCTGATGTCAAAGTAAATCTACACCGCTTTATAGAGTGTTATGGTATTTTTGGGAAAGACCTATCAGTACAATTACAATATGTTTTTTTTAATTAATTTCTAGTCGCCTTCACTGAGCTCTCCTACATCAACGCCAAAAACTCCTGTCCCCCCGAAAGAGCATCTACCAAAGGTCATCCAACTGAATGGTAAGTGCAGTGTACATTTATAAAGTACTATTGTGTAAATGACAATTTTGTTGAGGCGATTACACATGGCTGTGAAAAGTTGAATGCTTGGAACTGGAGATTAAGATAGAAATTGTCAGTAGAACAGGAAGTTAAAATCTGTTCGGAATGTCAGTGTTCAAACCGGTGACTGAATGTGACCATTCGTCTTGGAAATTTGTCAGTAAGAAGCGAAAGATTCCTAGCGTTATTTAGATCAAAAGGCGGTCCCCTTCTTTTTGTGTGATTTGCTTAACAATACAACGAAAAGCTCTCTTGTTTATTCACTTATATTTACCCACGACACTGTTGTTACAATTATTTTAAATATTATTCTTTCCCGAATTCTCGTTTCTTAGATGTCGGAACGTCTGTCAAACCCGGGATTTATTTCAACCGCACTCCAGCATCGACCTCGACCATGCCGAAGTCATCAACAACGCCCTCAACAAATCACGCGCCCTCTGTTCCCTTAGCTTCATCTTCGCAGAGACCCAAGTTTACATTCACCATTCCCGTCAAGTCCAAAGGAGTTAAAACAGATTTGAACAAAGCAAAGACGGAGGAGAAAGAACTCGGAGAAAAGAGCGAGAATATCGTGGGAAAAGACAAGGTGGGCAGCCTCTTAACAGGAGCAACTCGCTCAGAGGTAAAGTCTCCAATAACATCTTCAGGGAAAAAGCTGGAGGAAGCTACTGAGTCGGAGGCTGTACAAAATGTGACGGCAAAACCAGATGTCAGTAACAGAGAGAAAATCAAGGACTCCTCTGAGAACGTTCCACTGAGGAAAGAAGGAAAAGAGAGGTCTGATTCTCCGTCCAAGAAGCCACGCCCTCCGCCCCTCTTTATCCCAAGAGTTGTCGCGCAAGGCAAGGGAACGCCATTGTCTGCAGGTAAGCTGCCTTTGAACAGCGCACGTGAACTCAATGAAAGATAGATGCATGCGATTCTACCATAGATAGAGCGCTGCACCGTTTGCTTGTTGCATAGGTCAAGGAACGATTCCTCGTCAAGCCTGATTACTTTCATGTTCTATTTCGACCGCTGAGGTTTTTTATAGCTTCAAGAACACACCCGGCTTTTATTTGGCCCGGTTCAGGCGCCTTACTTCACATGAGCCGAATAAAATAGAATTCAAATTAATTTCGGCCGGTTGAATTGCTTCAGACGCTGATCTTTATTCCAGCTGAACTAAATTCAAAAGGGAAAAACGCGCATTTCGTTTAACTACATCATAAGAATTTGTGCGTTTGCCGATTCGGCTCAGCGTCCGAATCATCGCCCGTCCTTGAAGGACGGCTTAGCCGATTCTAATAGGCCACTTCCGAGTTCCAAAAACCCTCTCTTTCAAAATAAGGCTAGGTGCACAACCTTTTTTTGTGAAAATGAGTTTTATTTGCATGAGAATAAAAAATGATTTCCATATCAAAGGCTGAGCACCTACCCTCGTTTTGAAACAGAGGCCCAGGGGAACTCGGAAATGGCCTATTCAATTAGCCGTTTCGAATTCATTCGGCAGACGCCCTTCTTCGCATAAACTTCGATTCGGTTCAAGTGAAGTATAGCCTCCCCGCAGCTAACTGATCAGTTTAAACTCCGTTTTGAACCCCTTCCACATAGAAAATGTAATGTCTTTCAGCAAAAGCAACCACGCCTTGGAAAGTCACTCCAAAGACCACCTCTGAACCAGTGTTTGGTCCCATGTCCCCTCCCCCGCGGGGGACAATGCCACCGCAACCGTCACCATCGTCAGCTATGTCTGACACCAGCAGTACCTCAAGCGTGATGGGAAAAACAGGGGAATGGACAGTTACCGATAAGACGGTGCTTACACCAGGACCCAGGCTCCCAGAACGACAGCACGCCGGCTGGCAGGTGTCGAGGAAGAGTGAGGACGAAAAAGATGAAGTGGGTGAAGATAAAGTGGAGGAAAAAACGAAAACGGATGAGAAGGGAAGTGAGAAGAAAAAGAAGAAAAAGAAACACAAGAAAGAGAAGAAAAAGAAGAAAGAAAAGAAGGAGAAGAAATATGAGAGACTTGAAGAGTCAGATAGTAGCGAGGAAGAAAAGAAAAAGCGAAAGAAAAAGAAAGACAAAAACCATCGTAGTGATAAAGTTAATCAAGAACCTAGCTCCGACGAAAAATCTAAAAGCAAAAAATCCAAGAGAAAGCATAATGATGAAGCTGTTGTTTCTCCAAGTAAAAGGCCGTGCTTGGTGTCTTACGATGACTCGAGTTCCAGCTCCGGGAATGAACTTGTTTCAAGTGGTAAAGAGAACAAGAAATCGGAGAAAGGTGACTCACGAGAATCGTCGAGGGAGTCTAGAGGTAGGTGGAATTACAGCATAATAGGTAGCTTGAGCAACGACGACGGCGACGTCAACGAGGACGGCAAAGAAGCAATTGGTTTAGCTTGGTAGATCAACAACTTTACACGTGCATCACGCTTTTTTGTGCATTTCTTTGCAGTCACTGTGTGACTAAGACGTGAAATTGCCTAATTTCACGTTTTGTGGAGAACGTGAACTCAAGACAACGACTTTGCTTTTCTTTTCCTGAACTTCGATACAGTCCTTTAGAATTCAACTCCAGAAAAATTTGCCAACATTTGACGAATTGAACGAGATGGAATGAGCGCGGTTAAGTTTGAAGCAGCCCGATGTCACCTCTTAAGTGACGTTTTCGTATCCGTCGCCGTCGTTAGTGCTTAAACTCCCTCAGACCAGCAACTTAGTAGGCCATTTCGGTCCGAGTTGACCCAGGCCTCTGTTTCAAAGCAAGACTAAGTGCGACGTCATTGATATGAAAATGCCTTTTCATTCGCGTGCAAATGAAACTCGTTTTCACAAGAAGGTTTTTGCACTTAGCCTCGTTTTGAAAGTGAGGGGTTTGGGAACTCCGAAACGGCCGGTTTCATGGTTCATATTTCAAGGCTCCGTCGTTAAGAACATGTCTCGCAATTTTTTTGCGTCGTTGCGCGACAAGTAAACGTAAAAATACTGGGGCAAAATAAATAATATATCCAGTAAAGTATTTATTGATTCGTGTGGTTTTAATGGTTCGAAAGCTAATGGAATTGAGACTGTACCCTCTAACATTTCACTGAAAATTGTGTTAGTAGTGGTGGACTTTCCTGAAAATTATGGACCGTTTACACAGAAAAACGACACAGCTGAAACGTGTTTTGTATGCAAAAATATTGTTGCCTAGCCTGTGCTCAGGTTCAGATTCATTGTAAGACAGTGCAACGAAGAGATAGAAGTCCAAAATAAGTCTAAAGAAAGAATAAGAAAAACAGCGAGTTGTCCCCACTATCTGTACACCTGAAACCGGCTAAAACCAGCGGGATTGATACGCAATTTTGGACAAAAGTTTTGTTTGTTTGTTTGTTTGTTTTTTATTTCAACCATATTTACACCCACTCTAAATACTCCAGTTCCAGTTATTTATGACGATGCTCCGAAGAAAAAGCATTCGGCGCGAAGGGCAACTTGGGATGGATCACGTGCTTCATCTGCCGTTGATCAGTTGCTAAGCAGCAGTAAGGGTTTCCATGGATACGGTAGCTCAGGTGAGTAAACTTGGCCATTTTCCTTATGGATAAAATATTAAGTGAACTGGTATCATAAAGTTGTTAACCAGAAAGAATCATTTTAGGATTTAAGTTGAGAACTATATCGTAACATAGTCGTGACATGAATAAAGCTCATCACAGCATAATAAACAACACCATAGAAAAATAGAGATCAGTGGCTTTCAACAGGCCCTTTGCAGCTAGTCACTCACTTGATACAAAGCCGCCATGCTGGAGAGCTAGAAACGAGCAAATGAAGTCAGCATTTTAAATGATGTGAGCTCTTTTTTTTTTATTTCTATCCCATTGCGTCCCATGCTCCCCAGCATGGCGATCTTGTACCACGTGAATGACTAGCTGTAAAGGGTATATTGAATGTTCGCACTTTAAAACTTCATCCACAGACTCCAAAAATTAGAACCACTTTGTACAGCGGAATAAACAGTACCACAAGAAAGTACTGCTTAGCAGCTTTCATTTAAATGGTCACACTTTAGGATTTCATACAATGGACTTGAAAGTTAGAACCACCTTGTACAGCACAATAACTGTACAACAACAGCGCGTTCGCAAATTTGAGGCCAAAATTTTTAAGATGATTCCAATGAGGTTATGGAGGGAGTCACTTTGACTCCAGAAATTATTGGTTGCAAAATACTTTTTTCTTTATCTTTTTCAAAACAAATACAATCTACATTAACTGCAAATGTTGTAAACCTGATTTAAACCACCTAAATTGAAGAATTGTTCATGAGTGCACATATAGAGGCAAAATTGCAGTAAAGACCACTCGAACATCATCAAATTTGAGCCTTTCGGGGTCAGCAGACTCTCATATGAAGCAGGAGCTACTTCATGTATCCGTCATGATACCGTATACGTGCCAGGACCACGCGCCCCTGAAATGGCATCCTCGTCGAAAAGACCGAGTGAAGAACCGCCAAACGAGCTGTAAAACAATCGCTTTTTTCGTTGTGTTACTTGACTCCAAATATTCCAAAATTACTCCAAAACTTCGGAAACAGAAGTGAAACTGACTTCACCCATCAAATTATACAATTTGCAAACCCTGCACAAGAATTACTGCTCAGTAGTTATCATTTGAACGGTCATGCTGTGGGATCTCCTTCACAGGCACATTTATATCATGGATTTGATAGTAACACGCATTTGAATGTCTGCTTCCTTTCAGTAACATCTTGGGATGGAGGTGAAAACTCAGTGGACAACAGCGTTGGTGAACCAGGAAGAAAACGACAGCGAAGAGACTCGTGGGATGACGAATACGACCGAGGAAAGGTAACGCTTATACAAGGCAGATGAACAGCAGGCAATTACCATGTGACATAGTTTCACATCTGCAATTTCCCTAGATGTAGCTCCGACTGTCACCAGCTGATTGGTCATCACGTGGTCTCAATCAGATTCCATTGTTTTATACCTTATTGCCATTAATTTTGCGACAATTTTGGTGACTATGCTAAGAGTTCCAAGTCCATTATTTTAATAACTTTGTGCTCGTCCTTTATAGCCTCCCCAGTACTGAGTTCTCTGAGCGTTTCGCTTGAACAGTCGGTGAAATATGCCTATTTGAGAGCTTCTTATTGGGCATTGTGGCTGCTCTTCAGACTAAGTCGATATTTCAAACACGGAATTGCACTACGGGGCTAATTTTTGAGCCAGGAAAACCACCTGCTTTCACGCGAGATACGCGAATCCATAAACAATTCATACTCGGCGATCGGAAATGAACCGTGATCAGGGCTACAACCTTCCCTCAATTTATAGAACAATTTTGCAGCCTCATCAAAACGAGGCTGCGAATAACAGCAAACTTCATCACTGATGAAGGGATCTGGGTGGGTCCCTAAAGCTCTGCTAAACTTTCAACAAATTGTTGGTGTTGAAGAGTATTTTTTATTATATGTTGTCCCAACAGAAGAATCTCCACTCTGCACCGTAATTTTTAGGGAGTTATTATAACTCCAAAAATGGAGTAAAAATTTTAGGTACAGGATAACCCCTTTTTTGGGGTTATTTTAACTCCTAATTTAACTCCGAATTTGGGGTCATTTTTACTCCTGAAAAAGAGTTCTTTTTACTCCCAGTCTTGGAGTTAAAATTACTCCGAAATGGGGTTACTTGTACTCCTTGCAGGGGTTGTTTTTACTCTTTTTGGAGTTAATTTAACTCTGAAAGTGGAGTAAAAATTTTAGGTACAGGATAACTCCTTTTTTGGGGTTATTTTAACTCCTCAATATCTGGGGTCACTTTTACTCCTGAAAAAGAGTTCTTTAAACTCCTTTTTGGAGTTAAAATAACTCCACGAAAAATAACTCCACTGTCAGGAGTTAAATTAGCCCCACTAGAGGAGTTATTATAGCTCCCTGAAAATTACAGTGTTTCATCTTTTATTGGCTTTTTGGTAAGGTTAGTCAGGAAACCGGGTCCAAATTCGGTCTCTAAACCAGGCCCATAGTGCAATTCGTCACAGTACCGGTTCCTGGCCAGTAAATATCACTTATTAACCAAGAGTGAGGTCATTACAGGGAAATCTCAGACCGACTCCAATACATCAAGGCCGAGGTCTGAGATTCCCCGGTAATGACCGAACGGACAAGGTTAATATGTTATTATGATATGTCCTTTTCATTATGGACCTAACGCTGCGATCAGTTAAAACCAATAACTGGTCAGCGGATAACTTTATCAGTAACACGCGATACAGTCATGTCATACATCATTATTTGATGAGAGGTACTGATATCCTTAGTCTTCCTAAAGCTGTTACTTCTATTTATGGCTTAAATTCTTTTAGTTATACTGCTGCTAAGTTCTGGAACGCGTTGCCTGACAAACCAAGAACCCTTTCGTCTTTGCATGACTTTATTTTAGCAATCCGGCGATACAGATCAATTAATTAATTGTATTAAGAGTTAAATACTTTCCCTAGTTAGTGTATACCATGGTTTATTTCATTTTAGGATTTTATTAGTTTCTCGGAGATACTAGCCTATTTTTGGCTACTCTGAAATTCAAGATGAAATAAAGTTTTCTGTATGTATGTATGTATGTATGTATGTATGTATGTATGATACTGGTCAGCGGATACCTTTTTGACAGCTGTCAATTGACCATGATATAGGGTGACCATAAGGATGTCTACTATCAACTTAAACACGGATTGGTTAATTTTTTGACAGTTATTTATTTCATTTTATTATTGTTATTATTATTATTTTTTTTTCATTTAGGAGAAGAAAATTAAAAAGAATAAGGACACCAGCGAAAGACACCGGAAAGGAAATCCCTTCCAGCAAGAACACGAAAGACGGAGCTCAAAACAGGTGCATTTTTTTCAGTGTAGGGGTGATTTGTTACTTATGACAATGCAAGGCTTTTGTCGTTCACAAAACAGTTTGGTCACGCAATTTTAAGCAGTTTTTAGCTCTCACCAAAGAATTGACTCAAATTTAAAAACCGCACGCAGAATTCCTGGTGGAAACAAAAAAAAATAGAAATGCCTAAAGACGATGCGGATTAATGGGCGAAATTGGAGAAGGTTAAAACCGACTGAATTCGGGTAACCTTAAAACGTTGGCCCGATTTTTTCCAAGTAGCTTTTAGTTCGTTTGAAAATATAATGTACAGAGCTTGGAAAGTTATCAGACTTTGTGTGTTTTTGCAGGTTTAAAGTCAAGAACAAGATGCTTCTCATGAAGCGTTCATGTAAAGTTTCGTGTCATGATCTTAATACGTTGTTGTGGGTTTGTTTTGCAGGGCTTCAAAGATCGTTTTTCTCGACAGCTGTCAAAGAACCACAAGTCGCATCATGGCCACTTTAGATCGCATTCCTCGCGAAAATACCGAAGGATGTCCAGTTGAAGACAAATACAACTAACTGTCGTGAAACAACAGTACCATTACCAAAATTAGCACTTTTTGTGATCAAAAAGTTCCATGAAGTTCCGTAGGGGATGGCTTTGCCTCAACATCTTTGCTCTGGCAAAGAGAATAACTCTATAACCGCCAGCCTTCAGTTTTTTTTATATATATATTGAATGAGCGTTTCTACCTATATTCGTGAGGTCATTCCGCTTAGTTTTACTCCACAAGACGACGTCACTAAGGGTATTTTTCAACCGTATGGGGACCTTTGTATGCGGTGATGGCCCATGGCTCTTAGTTGTCCTCGCACTTTTATCCCATTCTGTGCATTTTTACCACACATTTGTTGGGAGAATCTTACCTTGCTCGTTTTTCTGTTTAATCTTATTTGATATTCATTTTTCTTCTTGAGAACCAAAGGCACAGGTTTCTACGCACAAAATTCATTCGACCAGTCATATCAGTTGAACTGAGCTGAGTATTTTCAAACAGAGACGCCTTGTACAATATGCCGGATTGTGTTTCTAGATTAGCTGGTTTAAACTTGCATAAATGCTGAGTTTTAAGATGGTATCTGTGATACCGAGTTAAAATAGACTGCAAAACATTCCGTATTTTTGCGTACGCGTGAGCAGTCAAACAAAAGGTCTGGAACGAGGCTGAAAACAGAGAGCGAGACTGTTTTTTTTTCTCTCTCCTCAAACGCCCTATGGGCGTGTGAGGCTCGCGCGCGAAGCGCGCGTAAGACTCTTACTCAACGCTTTACCGATTTCGTTACTGATTTTTAGAAAAAAAACCGACTGTTTTGCAGTCTAAGTTAAAATTATTTGACAAAAATTTTTCAATGCATTATTGTATTGCAATTGTCGCAGTGTCCATTCCAAAGTTTAGAGAACGGCCAACTCCCTCTAATCCAGACAGTGTCCAGATAGCGTCGGTTTCGACACTAAGTGTTTATTTTGGAAAGGTGTTGTCTTGTAAAGAGTCAAAGAAAGTAAAGAAAGGCAGAGCCCACCCTAGATGCCCCTCTTAGAGAGGTTTCTACTACCCTGCGAGAGGTTTCTTTCCGGTATGGCTTTTAGCATTTAGGAAATCGTTCGCGTCGCTGTCAGTCGCGTAGTTGGTTCGTTTACGTCTCTTCGTAAATGCTAAAAGCGATGCCAGATAAGAAAGCCTCTGCTCGCAGGGTAGGTTTCTACTTAGGGGGTAAAAAAAGACTCTGGAACAGCAGGGACCAATTCTAGGTGTCCGTTTTAAAGAGATGTCTATTGAGAGAGTTGGCTATATAGTTAAACCGTTGTAATAAAGACACTTGGCGAGTAACGTTTCAAAAGAATTTTGCTCTCGGCGAGACCAAGGGAATTGCTTGAAAGAATGTTGGTATTTTTCGAGTGTATAAAGGAGAGGTCGTTCGACTGTTATAATTTCCTTTTCGTAAAGAAGTTACAGTATTTATTCGATTAAACGGCGCAACGGTAATTTCTCATGCGGTGTTTATTCAAGGTAGCGTTTATTTCAAAAGCATTGCCAACAATTACAGTAAATCATTGATTAATATTATGTAAAACAGAAAGGTGTTTCAAGTTTCAAAATCTCGCTTTTTTGCTGAGATAGAATATGGTGCAGTTTACCAAGTTGTATGGAGTTTTATTTTCTTACAATCCTCGAATAAACGCCGCGATATTTTGATTGGATTCTGAATGACGTTTATGGGCCTTTTTTTTCCACCATCTGCGGTGTTTAATCGAGTAAATACGGTATCCTTCCATATCAAGTCACATTTTTGAACATTATATCTAAGTACAAGTTAGGGAAGAAACAAGTAACTACGTTGAAATTCGCCACTGCAGTATCTCTAGGGACAAGGACGTTTTCGGCGCTACGATTCCTGAGGCCGTTTTGAGTCAGTGTCCAGCGTTTTTTTGTTTTGACTGGTTAATGGTCTCCAAGGTAACCGTTAACCAGTCACATCTCATAGGGTATCACAATCGATTTCTTGAATATCGCCGGTAGCAAAAACAAAATTTTCAGCGGGCTTTGGAGAATTATTTGATTCTTTGTATTTATTTTAAAGCGAGTTCAATCACAAAACATATCCAAGGACACTGTAATATATTTAGACCAAATTAATTTGAGTGTTCAAGAGAAAATGGAAAAGATGAATCAGGACAAAATGCTGGCATTTTTATTTCGAGAAGTAAGCTGATGTAAGAGGGTCTGGATGGGGTTGGGGGAGGGGGGTACAAATGTCATGTATTAAAAGAAAGATTAAATTTTGAAGAATTCGTTGCTGTGTAAATGTCTAAGTTAGGTTAGCTATACATGATGCGCCTTCCTGAAGAACAAAGCAAGCTGTCAGCGCCTGTCTTTGTACAATGTTATTAGACAAAAGTTTGTTATCTTAGAAAATAAAATTGAATTTGAAAAATACTTTTTACTTTCAACAAAAGGGAGGGGGGTGGTGCCAGTACGAGTATGCCAATTTTAACTGCAACGAAAACCCTGAAATCCCGTATTTTTACACAAACGTACAACCTTCCGTTCACACGAAATGGCATTAAGGGCCTTATCAGGGGCGGATCTAGGGGGAGGGTGCTAGGGGCCCCCCCGAGATGACCTGCGGTTTTCTAAACAACTGGTATTCTGCCAAAAAAAAACTATGTGGTTTATTGGTGTTGACGTAGAGCAAGAGACGAGTGCACCCCCTCCTAAAAAAATCCTGGATCCGCCCCTGCTTGTCCACACGAATCTGGGTAAAAAGATATGCGGTTTAAAAAATCAGTCCGGATTCTTCTGGACAGGGCTCACGTCCGTCTCAGAAAAGAGAGTTTTGATTGTTGGTATTAAAGAGAAATACAAAGACGTTCGTTGTCTTAATTTGATATGGGTGAAAAAAGTCAAGTGGAAGACACAGCTGTCAGACTGGCTCGTGTTATTAATCATTAAGCTCGAAATTCTGCCGGCAGAATATATGTACATGTATCCACATCATGAACCGGTATCCTGGGTACTGAACTATAAGTACTGTTTTATTTTGAAAAAAATCGTTGTCGGTCAAGTTCGCTCTTAAAATGATTTGTGAACTGTTCACATAATTGGTAAAACAGAAACTTGCGGGACGCCATATAAAACGGACACAACATTCTCTAGGTACGCGTGTCACGCCCGGCTGTCACGCTGTGTAACAAAAACATGGCGCTAGTGAAATGTAAATTTTGCCGCCAAATTTCTTCCCGCCAAAAACCGACACGACATCTTCCGTGATCGTATTGGACTTTAAACCCACTGAGAAGCTCAAAGTCCTTTGAAAACTGGCTCTTGCCCGGTCTGACAGGCTTATTGACGTCAATCATAAGCGCGGTGATTGGCTTCCTTGAAATAGCTCAGAGCGCTGATTGGTCAGAAAATACGTCAGCTTCTAAATATGGCGTGCTATTGCATCAGCCAAGGATTCAAGACACACCGCACGTCCTTTGTGTAATATATTTCATCATCCATCGAGAAAATGGCGGTGTGAGAATTGTTTCGGCAAAACCTCCTCGTGCAATCTAATTGCACCCTGTACAACCATGGAGTAAGTACAAATTACCCTGCACATTCGTTTCTACGATCACGCAAACACTTCTTTAGATCTCTACTTACCTTTTACTGGCGAAAGAATGGCGAAATTCGAGAAATGAATCGATCAAAACCCATTACGCACTAAAAGAACACACTGCATTACGATGCGAAAAGCACGAGGTTTTTCTCCAGTGTAAACATAAACTTGGCTCACAAGTTGAATTAACAGAACAGTAACTTAACTTAACCATGAATGCGGCCTTTCTTTTCGTTCCTCGCTCTAAGGACATGGCTTCGTTTTTGCGAGTTGTACTAATCGATCTCGATTTCTTTTGCAGTTTCCAACGGCGTGCCCGGTTTTTCTCTCAATCATCGATTACAGATGGCCAGAACTTACCACAAATCAAGAATGGAAAGCATTTCATTATTTTCGACATCAACAGCTCTAGAAGGGCTAGAGCTCTTCAACCCGCTTCCCGATCCATTGGATGGGGAAAGCGATTTTCTACATGAATATAATGATGACGTGTACAGTTGTATAGAAGAAAGGAAAGCACCGCTCTCGAACTTGTTGGCGGAAGATCTGCTACAAGAGCTTAATTTCGAAGGTTTGTATTATTATTTTCTCGTTTTAAGGCAATGTATTTTTAACCGTGGGGTTTTAATTTTAAGATCGCAGCTTCTCTCGCGGGTAATTTTTTTGCGCTTTGCGAGGAATGTGAATGATTGTGAGAAATTTTCCTTTCGAAGGCAATGTGATAGCTTGTATTTTTCGATAACAGCACGGAACATTTCCGTAGTTCAGCGGAAATAGTGTTCCAAAGTTCCCAATTTCATTTTCCATTGTTTGTCTTTAAATCGAATGCACCGAATATCATCTGTTGTCATGGCAACACGTTCTCGTGACGTATTCGTAAAACGCATTGTGGAAAATTCAAGACATTACATCAGCTTCTATAGAATTTTGCATCATCTTGTTGCATCAGTTGAATTATTTAAATCTCACCAATTGTTCTTGCCAAAGTTTTTTTAGGCTTTGGAAACCCACAACCTTGAACATGGCCTTAAATATACAGATGTTAAAAGTAAATTTTTCATTCCAGAAATCAAGTGATTTCTTCTTGAATTTCAGATGGCGGTGGTCTGTTAGATTGTGATTGGATGACAGAAAGACTGGAATTCAACAACTTTGAACCAGTGCTTGAGGAACACACCAACTCGTTTATCGACATGGGTGAGGTTGGTGTGTCAACCATAGATGAAGCTCCACAAACCGGGGAACCATCCTTAAAGTGTGAACCGGTGAACTTTACTTTCATGGAAACTGAAAGTGAAAGTCCAGAGAAAAGTGAGCCCTTGAACATCCCTCTCCTGGAAACTGAAGAAGAAAGTCCAGTTATGATAGAGGCCAATATTTTTGCCAATGTGGACGAAATTCTCAGAAGGCTCTGTGCTGATAAAAACATTCCATTCAGTGAAGGAATTTCAGATGTCCCTTCGTCACCATTGCAGAATGTTCCAGAGGTTGAGCTTCATTCTCCCTGCAGTGTCGCGTCCCCTGGATCAGCTGTGAGTAGTGAGGAAATTCCACTAGCCTGTTCAGATACAGAATTAGGCAGCTCGAATCCTCCATCTCCTGGTGTTGAAGCAACCCCCATCAAGAAAAACCCACCATTAATTTTTCATCCAGTGAGGACTCTCCCGAGGGCAGCATATGTTGCACCATATCCTCAGGAAAAACTCGTGAAGGAAAAAACGCCTCAGCAGAAAAAGAGAAAACGGGAGCAGAATAAAGATGCTGCTACGCGGTACCGAGTCAAGAAACGTGAAGAGCAGGAGGCCGTTCAGAGTGAACTTAGTGGATTAGAAAAAGAAAATGTTGACCTGAAAGATCAGGTGTCTTCATTGTCAAAGGAAATTGAATACTTGAAAAACCTGATGCTTGAAGTGTATAAAACCAAGCTTCAGAAACAATCTTTGACAGCTGTTAAAAGTTAATTCAGCTTTCCGAAAGGTTTACTGTAAATAGACTGCTCAGTTAATTGACTGCAAGTATTAATGTGTCATCTGTTTTGTTATGATGGCTCTTTTTATTTCGAATGAATTTTGCATAGCTGATTTTGTCATTGCTGCTTATATCAATATTAAAGTTTTCACACTACATATTGTATCTTGGTTGTATTTCTACTTTGTTGGTGTGTAATACTTCTCTTTGTACTTGCACTACCATCAGTCCATGTAGCCTGCTAGCAAGCTCTCCATTTGGGGAAGCGGCAAGGAGTCTTGCAAAAGGAGACAAGCAAGGGACGCGTTCTCTTCTGACTCACTTCGCCAGAAATAGAGAGCTTCTTTGCGGGTTACCATCCCTGAAAATGCTTTTAAAAATAGCCAGTGTAGCCATTAGAATGTTGGTATTGTTTGGGGCACAAATTTAAGTCAAGGCCACCTTGTTTGTGCCCAAAATTAAACTTGAGATCCTCACATTCTTTGCTGTACTGTGCTCCTTGGAGAACTCGGTCAAAAAATGGTGTGCAGTTCCAGGTCCTTAATTCTGAATTTTCAATGTAAAGTTATGTGAGCTTCCCTTTAAGCCTGGATGGCAGGTGTTAGATAGTGTAGGGGAAGCCATAACCATTGAACTGACTCCTAAATGATCCTTTGTACTCCAGAAGTGGCCATGATTGTCGAACGAGACTGTTGTTCTTGTAGAGGTAGACGGTGAAGTGGGGCATATTTTGTACCCCTAAGTTTAATGTTGCTTGAACAATCCCTTGAAAAATCAATAATTAAGCGCGGGATTTCTGTATTGTTTTAGCGGCGGAATTTCCCGAGCACAAGAATCCCGCTAGAGATGCCCGAACTCCGGCCGCTTCCTCCGCTCGCTGGTGAAAATGGGGAGAGAGGCCGTTAGGCAACCGGAGTAATAGCTAAATCGGCGAGTGATCTGCAGGCATGATACATCTTGTCAAATTGTATCTCTGATTTGAAATCAAATAAAATATGTTCCATGTATGTATGAAAGAGTGCTAAGGTGCCACAATTACATGTACCTACCTTTTCATTCCTACATTAAGGGTTCGCTCTCTTTCAATTTCCCGGCACTCTCCATTCGCTGCTAAGAAACTTGGCGAATGCCTTGGTGAACCTTTTTGAACCTAGTTGTACCTTGGCTAACAAATCTAAAAACTGTTGTGATAAATTCAGCAACTCGCTTATTGGCGGCGGGGCGGGAAAAGGTAGGAGGCTCGGAAATGGTATTGAGGGAAATTTGGGGTACACTTTTACCCGTCCAGCCGCCCCTGAAAAGGAAATACGTATACGCCCCCGAATGAGTTAAATTTTGATAGATGGGTGAGAAAAAGCAAGCGTGATACTCAGTTACGGTATGTAAAATACTTTTCGACTCGCGTGACAATTTTTTTCAGTCACGTGGGTATAAAGAAAACGAGTATCAAACATGGCCGACCCGAGTGGCTTCAGCCCTGTCGTAGTAAACTCTGCTACATATATTGGCACTTTGGCAGTGTTTCTTCTCGCAGTGAAGGTGCCTGGAATATCTTTAACGCATTTTCCTGCAACAGGTTCTCTCTTAGTTTCAAACAATAAGAAGTTTTCCACCAATCAAGATTGGGAATATCTCTTCATTGGTCTGTGGTCTGTCCACTTTCTACGGCGCACAGTTGAGGTACTCTTTGTTCACGATTACCGTAGAAGAATGCCCTTGATCGAAAGTATAGGGGCGCCCGTTTACTACTGGTTCTTTGCATTTTGGACCGGAGTTGCACTGAGACACGACAATGGCTACAAACAAACCTTCCTGACTCTGATAGTTGTTGGTTCCATTATGTTCTTCCTCGGCGAATTTGGAAACAGCTACTGTCACTTTAAACTGAAAGCTTTTCGCAAAGAGAGAAGACAGCAATCTTTTTCTGAAAAATCGCAACATGTCATTCCTCATGGATTTCTTTTCGAGTTTGTTTCGTGTCCACATTACTTGTGTGAAATTGTATCGTGGATTGGCTTCTTTATCGCAACGTGGACTCTCCCCTCAGCGCTTTTTCTTCTTGCAACGATTCTAACACTTGTTACTTACTCATACAAGAAGCACAAAGCTTATCGGGAAGAATTTAATGGGACAGCTGGTAAAGATTTGTATCCGAAGAACCGGAAGGCACTTATTCCTTTCATATTTTGAGAAATTGCTTTAAAAATAGGACCTTTCCTTAGTGCACCCCTCGAAGAACAAAAAATTATCTTGTCTTTTATAAAAGAAAACAGGCAGTGGAAGCTATTAAACATATACAAGGAAATATAACAACAGACTCTGACGAAGAAAAAATTTTATTCCAGTTGTAACCTGTACTTCTTAAATTAAAAATGTCCCTGTGATTTTCGTAGTTATTGTTTATTTTTTGGTAGAACGGTTCGTTACCTATACAGAAGTCACAATAAAACACGATAAAAATAGAATTTTTATGTAAGAATTAAGAGAAGAGTGGGGGGAAAAAAGGAAAATGAAGGCACCGAGCGGAGTCGAACCACTGACCTCCTGTTTACTAGACAGGCGCTCTAACCAACTGAGCTACGGCGCCAACAGCTGACGAGTTTCGGTAAAATTAGCCTTTTTATCGTTGCATCTGTCCTTGACAACTTTGGACCGTTCCATCTTCCTGGATTTGATGGATTTTTTCATCATCTTATTCTAATCAAGATAAATATTTTTATGAAAATACAATTGAATGTCTTAAAAAAATAATTTAAAAGATGTTTTATTTCAGGCTTTTTTGATTGCGACACGCGATAGGGTCTCAGGGGAGGCCCCAGAGTCCCAGGCAACCAATGAGAACGTGCGAAGCGATGCGTAAACTTACACCGCGCTAGATTTAATTCCAACGGTGCACTAGTCTGTCTTAGAGCGTGTCGCGATCGTTCAGTTCCTCTTGTGGATTCCTTTATAGTACAGAGCAAACTCTTGCTCTTAGCTTTAAGATTTTTTTCTTTATAGTTTATCTCCTTTTCGCCCCTTTCATCTGGCTCTGTAAAATTTTCCTAACACGTCGCGAAAGATGAAGCTTCGAAACAGAATTCCAACACGAGCGCGTCCTTCACGATGTTCACTGCTCGCGTTACCAGAAGAAGTCGTTCTTCTCATTTTGAAGCGTTTAACAGCCAATGAGCTTATGTGCTTGAGAATGGTAGGTATACAAACCTTGGTTTCTGCCCTGTGAATGAGAAATATATGTTTACTTTTTGTCTAAAATGGCAAGGTTTTCGCGACCGTTGGAAGGTAGAGGACGCGGTCTTCGTCAGACCGTTAAACGTTCGTTTTGTTGTTGATTTCATTCGTTGTGTGTATTTATCCTTTTTGTAGGTCTGTTCGAGGTTAAAAAGTGTTATTGATGACTCGCCTACTCTTTGGGTGTCAGCATCATTTCTTGGAGTTTGGCCATCGCTCAAAAATCTTCCACTTTTAAAAAGGTTTGCCATTGTTCTATGTAACGGAATTCAGAGGTTTGCGCGGCGTCATTCGAATTTTACCCCTTTCCTTAAGCGCGCCTGTGATTTTAAAATGTTTGAAATATAATAGATAGGTCTTCTCTGACAGTTAATTCTTATTATGATAAAACACTATGAAAATTTTATGTTACTGCTTTTTTGGTAATTTCTAGGGCTGCAGGTGTTGGTAATCCCGAAGCTCTCATCAAGCTAGGACTTGCTCATTTGTATAATGAAGGAAGTATGTACTGAGCAATAAGCGTATATCTGTTTGTCTACACCAAAAAAATAAGATTTTTTATCTCTTCCTCTCTAATAAAGAAGAGAGTTTTACGAGACAATTTACAGTTGGCGTACATTTCACACAAATGATGTAAGTTTCATCAAGAAGCTTTTATTAAGTGACACGTACAGGGGGAATCTCTTAGGAGGTTTTTTTGTGTTCATGATCTGTTGATCACTGTTTCTACAATTGAACTACAGTTTACTCTGTCTTAGACGGACACCTATGGCACTATGTGTGCAGCTTAGAGAGGTGTCTGTCTTGTAGACAGTAAATTTAAAGGAGTAGAAAAAGGCAGGGATCATCCCCAGGTGTCCGTTTTACAGAGGTGTCCATTCTGTAGAGTTGTCTGTTGAGAGAGAGTATGTGTGTTCAACAACAATGTTGTGCCATGTAAATAATTGGTCTAAGGCACAGTTGCCCATCTCAGCAAGGTGGCCACCCTTACAGAAACCCGAAGTCAAAAAAATTTAAGTCAGTGAAAAACACCACGGACCAAGTCTTGACATCGGCTTTTGGGAAGGGTCCAATTTGATATCAAATAATCACAGAGAGTCAAAGAAAAATGACTGAAGAATGGCATGAAAAGACTCTAGGTCAAAGTGTCTTGGAGGTGTCTGCATAGATATGTCTGCCATTTTTTTTAACTGTATCTTCATCTTTTAGTTTCAGAAAATGGAGATAAAGGTGTTGTGAATGCAAAAGAAAATGGCTGCTTAGCTGCAGAATTTTTCTTCAAGGCTGAGTGCAACATTCCAAATGGTGCACCGTTTACTTGGTTTTTTGTGCGTCCCCCCTGGGCGCCATCTGGTGTGTGCTGTAAATCCTGTGTTTTTAGCAGTATGGTGGAACTTTCTTCAAATTCTAGCGTAAGTTTAGTCTACATAAAACATTAAACAAGGTATCTAGTGACAAGTTCAAGGAAAACGTACAGGCATCTATATGTAAGAGCCCCTACTCTTGACCCGTTAAGTCCCATCAGTGATGACAAATAATTTTCTCTATACAATGTCAATACAAATTCAAGAAGAAGAAAGGCTACAAAAATCATCTTCAAAGGGAAAATGCTTTTGATCTTTCAGCAAGTTCCCTCAACTTAGTGTACAAAAAAAGGTTGGAGATCAATTTGGGGAATTTGTTTTTGGGACTTAAAGGGTCAGCACTGTCTTCTAACCACTTCTACGAGCATGAACCTTTAAGTTAGCTGCTTGCAAAGGAAACAAAAGAACTTCTTAGGGGATCAATTCCCTACTTACTAATTGAAATAGTTCTTATTGACAGCACTGGGGCTATCGCCCATCCCATAGTCATAATATTGACTCCTGAATCCTCCACAAAATAAGACGCATTTTTTTATCACAAGATCAAAAATAGCCTGCATTGCAGACATAATCAAGTAGTAAACTACCCATAAACCTACACAGAAGCATTTTGTGATACATTAACCCTTTAAGTGCCAATAGTGACCAACAACAATTTTCTCCTAACAATATTCATACACTGTCAAGAGATAAAGTTATGAGAATTAATAAAATGTTCATCATAGAGAAAATTCCATTATCTTTTATCAAATTCTCTCCGCTAATTCTTAAAGGAGATGTATGGAGATCAGTTTGGAGAATTTGTATGTGGATATTGGGGCTTAAAGGGTTAAGCTTAACAAGCTCCTTTATCTGAAACTACAGCCACACCCTGCGTCACGTACACCCGGTTAATATGGGCACCTTGTTATTACGTCCGTATTAACAGGGTTTGATTTTACTCTGTTCACTCATGTGTAACACTGTACACCCTCATCATACAAAGCCACTTACACTGTACCGGGTAGAAACTGTGTTCAACTTTTTAATCATCAGGTAAACAAGTCAGTGTTGTACTGTGTAGGGAAAATTCTAAGTTTACATGAGGTATGTATTTTTTTAAAATAAATTAAAATGCTTTTTAAGTTGGCTGTTTTTTTCTATAGATTTTTTTAATTTCCAAAGCAAACCAAATGGCCCTTAGATAACTGGATTAACAGGATTCAAAGATTGTACAGTTTTTTGTCAGTTGTAAATTTATGTGCTGTTATACACAAAGGATTGAGGACATAATATTGAACATTGACAATTAAGGCCTGAAAATTAAATATTTGCCCATTTACAATAAATTATTACTATGCAGCACTATTTAATTAAATTTCCTAGAGTGTGAAGTCACTGCACAAGCACATTGACTTCAAGAGATAATTGACCTCAAAAAACCGCCCACACTGCCTCGTCCCAATTCGCTCGCGATCATTTTTGGGGGGATATTTGAGTTAATTATTAAGGAAAGCGGGGACGAAGTAGAGTGGTAGGAATTCCCATCATCCCCCTCTCGTGCTTCTTGTTTGCCTTGAGCTCTCGTGTATTCCCTACTGAGCCTTAGGAAAGCCTCTAGAGGAGGAAGCCACCAACATCCAGCGACTGACACTGTCTCTCCACCATGATGGGGGTGGTGTTTAGCACTGTGACATTGTCACACTCGGACAAAGTTTGGCATACCTGCTGAACAAAATCACTGTTAGATTCAAGTTTGCAGGACTCAAATGTTAGCCTCCCAAGCAGATGTTCTTAGGGGTTCCTGACACGTTCCTGCCCCATGTGAGGCAGGAACATGTGACAAACTCCTAAGAACGTCTGCGTGGGAGGCTACTCAAATGTGCAATTTGTAAAGTTTTAATGGTTTCAAATATTACAACACTGACCTTATATTTTGGAATAAATGTTGTGGTTTAATTTTATCCTTGGTTTAATTTTTATTCCCTTTTGTTTTTAGGTGTGGTAATGTATAATGATAAGTTTGACACAAAAGAAAATAAAAATTAAACCAAGGACAAAACTGAACCGTTACAGAAAAAATGGGTTCCTTTAAAGCTATTTATTTAAAAAAAATCATTTCAGGATGAAATTAAAAAAGAGGAAAGCTTAGGGTGGCTCAAAAATGCTGCGAGCCAGGGATCTTCCCACGCTGCCTTCGAACTGTGGAAGATGCGTTATTGTCAGGGACCACTAGAACCTTATTCAAGACTGGAGAGACTCAGAGAACTACGAGACTGTGCCAAAAACAATCACCCGGATGCCCAACTGACCCTCGCTCTTGAATATGCACAAGGAAACCTTGGAGGGGTTACTAAATCACAAGTAGCAGAGTTTATCTCACAGGTTAGAATCATATGAGGGATAGCCTTCCAGTCACAGGTGTCCTATAGTTCTAATGAATCAGTTATTTAACGCGACTAGCCGTAAAGTCTCACTTTTCACTTCAAGTTTTCTACAAGAAAGGTCCTGAACTCGTACCCCAATTCAGCCGCCATCTTGGATTTTCAACTGTTACACAGTCTCCCACTCGGTCATTATTGTCCGTGGAGATATATTCCTCTTAAGCAATGATTTCTGCACTGAATTTCTGCGCAAAATATATGTTAAAAAACGTTTTCAATGATATTGCTTGAGCTTTGTCGTTTTAATTAATCTTGAGTTGTGTCTTTTTGTTTTCTTTTCAGTTTGTTTCCAGATCAAAGGCACAAAACAGTCACAAGCTTTTCAGTTTTCAGACAGAACTGAACAGCACTATGAGGTGGGGTTATTTTGCTTATCCATGTGGATAAATCCAAGGGTATACATAATCTGAATGTGTGCTGTGATTATTTTGTAGGTATATCTTGGTTGACTGGCTGGTAGAAGTTGCAGTCATGAAGGTTTGTTTTGTTTTAGTTTAGTTGGCTGCTCTTAAACACTATAGGCAGGTATCAAAAGTGGAGGGATTGGGGAGAGAAGGCTTTCCCTTTCCCACTTTTCTCCCCCTCCCCCTTTTGTTGCCTCCACGCAGGCTAGAACACAAATGTATAACTTGCAAATCGAAACACCAACATTGCCCATGGTGTTTTCCTGGGGTGTAATGTCCCTGTTTGAAAGATACCTGAGTTGTGCTTATTGATGTACTTGACTAGACTCTGGGCAAGTTCTCCAAAGCTTAGCCTGAGAAAACAGCCAACGTTTTGCGACACCACCAAAGGTTTCCCTACGAAATGATGTCTAACCAAGCGCAGAAATTCCATACCGATGATGTGTCACTACCCAGATATGGGTTGTGGCACGTCATCAGTATTGAACGTCTTCACTCGTTTCTCAGGCCATCCAAAGCTCTCAAGAACAAAGGCTCAGCATCTAAGCAATAATGGGAGGGAAAAAAATGGATAGGAAAAATTAGATGCATGGAATTGTAACTCTTGTGTGAGCTTGTAACAAAAAAGGCCCTGGGTTTAATTTGCTGGTGCAGGTGTAACATAAGGCATTAGGATTAACGTTAAACCCTCTGCTTATCAAGGTATACAGATGAATCCCACTATAGTATTCCACAAACTTGTGGTGATAATATTTTCTATAGCAACTAACTCTTACTACATGTACATTTATCTATAATATTTCAGGATTTCCCCAGCCAGATTGTTCACATTGCTGTGAGCTGTGTAGATAAGTATTTAATGAGGCGCAAGGTGCAAAGATCAGAGCTTCAACTCCTTGGAATTACCTGCATGCTGGTAGCAGCAAGGTTTGTGTTCATGGAGATATTAAACTACAGTTGTTACAGTTTTTAACATGCCAATCTGTGTGCAAAGAAAGTCATGTCCAATAGAACTGTAGTCAATCTTGCTGGTCAAGAATTTCTTTAGGGGGCTAGTGAAAATAACTCTTTGGCAATTACATGCTATTTACAGCTTCCCTGTAAGACTCTCTTTGGATGATATGTGGAAAGGCTTGACTCTCTTTGCACCCTCAGGGCTGTCGTTAAGAGGCGGGGGCTGGGGATTTCCCCCAGTTACTTTCAAAGGAAAATAAAGGAAAAATAGAACCGAAAGAAATTCCTAGCTGTTTGATTCCCCGCCTACTTGTTGTATTTACCCGACAACTTGAAATCTTAGTGACAACCCTGACCCTGGTCAAACCCAATTTGGTCAGCGAGGATGGTGAATGCCCCTAACCCCACCCCAACCCTCCACCAACCTCCTTTAGTTTGTGTCCCGGCTGACTGCAGTGATAGCAGAATCAATGTTTTGTGTTTCTTGACAGTCCTCTGGCTTGCTTCAAGTAGGTTTTAATCTATGAGAGGTCTTTTTTCTTTAAAGGTTTCAAGGAACAGACATCGTGACTATTAGGGAAGCTGCTTGGCTTACAGATGGCACATATAAATATGAAGAAGTTGTCAGGTAAATTAAAAATTGTTTGAATGACTATTTCAGTGGATATGGCTGACTCTTGTTAACACTGCAGCTTTATGTCTTTCTTCTTCTCTGAGTGCTCAAGTGATTTTCTCTGTTTGTGATCATTTTTTTTTCCTTTTTGCAGAATGATGGGTGAAGTTATGTCCTGTATCAAAGGCCAAGTTAGAGTATGTTATATGAAACTTGCAGTTTTAATTTATGTTTTTGTCAGAATAAGTTTCAATATTCCAGCAGCTAAATTGACCCCAATCTAAAATTAAGGTCTTGTTAGAGTGCTTATTTTCTTAAAAAAAATAATAAATGGACGAACACTCCTGCTGAAATGAAAATTATGTTTCAGTTGTGGTTTTGAAGGGGATAAAAAATCCCACATGTCATCCTTTAAGCAGGGAGCAGTGGTGACAGCACTCTCCTCTTACCAATGTTGCCCAGGTTCAAATACTGTCCGTTGCATCTAAGCGTGTACACGTGACAAAAAATTGTGTTCTAATAATATGGGGTGAAAATAAGACATGTTTTGCCACCAAACTGTTGAAGTTTGGGGTGGCTTTATACGAATAATCATGTGGAAAGTAGGTAGCTGTTAGTCAGCTTGATTTGTTTTCGATCAACAAAATATTCATGGCATTAAGAAGAAATTAGGGAGATAAAAAAGATGAGCAGAATGTGCTGATCAAAAACATGTAAACAACTTAACCTTTGGCACGACAGTTTGCTTTGACGGCCGTCAAAATTCAAATGTTTGACCGCAAAACATGTCATGTCTGGCAGTGACCCTATTAGAATATGTTTTTTTGTCTTGTGTCCACGCTTAGATGCACCCGATGGTACCAGCGTGGACACCATATGTAGGTTGAATATGTTGTTGGTTTTCTTCTCTGAGAGTTTGCCCTCTCCTCAAAATGCAGCATTTCCAAATTTCTATTAAACCAGGAACCATAGACAAAGAACCATTTTGTGGATGTGCTACCTCTAAATAGTTAATATTTTTTATTTATTTATGAAGCATGATATCAATATTGATTTCATGCATTTCTTTGAAATGTGGGAGTTGACACTGGATATTTCTTCTTCTTTTTTCAGGTCTTAACCATACCCGATTTCCTGAAGTTATTTTGTTCACTTGCTGCAGTAAGTAAGAGTTTTGTTTTCAAACTTATAATAAGTGTTTACTGTGAGCCAACCATGGGACTCTTAAAGTGGCATCCCTTGCAGTAAAAATTTGCTGTACAAAATTAAATAATGTTGTGTTTTCTTGAAATGGGCCATGTTTTTTACACCCTGTCTAGAATTGGGTGCCGTCCGGGACTAAAAGTGATACCCTGTTCTAAAATTAGAAATGGGCCAATTGTTTATACTCCGTTCTAGAAAGTTTGTAAATTGAAATAGTCCTGTTTTTTTAAAAAGATATTTCTTTATTTGTTCGACTTATACATCAAATAAATGCTTCTTCATAATCAGCAACAATTTTAAGCAGAAGATAAAGCCGTGATTCACAATTTTTTATACCCCATTCTAGAAAACGCCTCTGAAATGGATACCCCGTTGGGCGGCACATACCCGTATAGGTAATGACGGGAGTACCCCCCCCCCCTCCCCCCTCCTGGTACTTACCATAAAAGTCCAAAAAATAAACTCCAAGGCTCATTAACTTTTCAAAGGCCTTTTTTGAGGGGCTTCTCATTTTGATTGGATAATTTTGGAAAATATTTTATCCTAAAAACAGCTGGTCTTATAATAATCAAAAGTTAATTTGTGTCAGTAATTTTTCAGTGGGTAAATTGTAATATATTGAGGCATTGACTTCAAGCATTACAGAACTTTATTAAAAATAAAATACAGTACCTATCATAAAATAATGGGAACACAATGATTTCAGTACCGCAAGTATTCTGAACCACATCTTTGGTTAGAACATACAAACATAGGCTGCACTTATGGTTACCAATATGTAACAACAGAGTGTGCAATACTCAGTAAATGAGTTTTGGGGAAATTTCATGTTCAGGTAACCTGAGTAAACAACAGACATTAAGCTATGCCTCTATTTTTTTCCTTGCAAAATGTGGTCAGAGGAACAAGCACAGAAATTCCATACTGATGGTGTGTCACTTCCCTGATCTGGGTAGCACTTCTCATTTGTCCTGCCAAGAGCAAAATTTGCTTTTGAACCAATCAGAAGCACTACCCATATCTGGGTAGTAACTCGTCATTGGTTTGGAATTTCTGTGGTTATTCCTCTAACATCACCAGTGGGCAACCAGTGGTTGGGGGAAGGAGTAACGTGCAAAGAAAGTCGTGTCCGATAGCCCAGGGCTAGTGGATTTTGCTATAGGGCTAGTGATTTTTGTTCTTAACTTGCCCGACGGGCAAGTACTGTTTTGCGGGGAAATTCAAATTACAGAAGGATTGTTAGTAATCAATCCTGCTAATCAAAAAGGGTTTTAGGGCTATTTGAAATGACTTGTTTGCTAGTGCATGCTAGCTGCAGCTTGCCCGAATGGCAGGCTGTAAGACTGACTTTCTTTGCACCCTGAGGAGGCTTCTATTCATAGGAGCTTGATGTATTCAAATATGGCATTATAATTTTATTTACCTGACATTATCTGAATATTCCTTTTCAGGTTAGTCAGAAGACTGAATGTATTGCAGGATATGTAGGCGATTTATCAATTTTACACACTGAATGTGGAAGGTAAGGTTTCTTTTTAGTCCCTTCAAAAATTTGATCATTTCTTTATTCCTTAAGATCAAGCAAAATTCAAAATTATTTTTATTTTATTCATTTTATTTATTCGTTTATTTATTGTTGGTTTTAGTATTTACTTTTAATGTTGCCTGGAAAACAATGTTTTTGTTATTTTTCATGTTTCATTTGTATTTATCCTGGTTCTTATGCTTTGTGATTTTATCTCTTCTGTAGGTTTTCACCTGCATTAACTGCTGCTTCTGCGGTTTTATTAGCAAACTCAATTCAACAAATTGGTAAGTGCTTTTTTGCTGCAGTCAGAAGAGTAATTAGTGTTGAAAGAACTTTAAATTGCCAGTAGACAGTTGTATATAATGTGTGCTGTATTTGATGTGTAGATATTGCATGACACTTTTTGTCCAGGTGGTTCAAAGCTGGTTAAAGATAACCCAGGGGTGGTGAAAAATTTGAATTGAAATATATGAAAGCTCGAAAAGCAAATTCAACTTTTAAATTTTTTTGTCTAGATACAATAATGATTATTTAATGATTCGATGCTGTAGAAGGAATCGCAAAAATTGTCCCAGAAAATTTTTTTGAGCAAAGAATAAACAACCTGGACTAAAATTTAACCCAGCTTTGGAGCTAATTAGCCTTCAAACAACTGCTGGGCCCTGGGTTTAATTTGCGGTTACAGGTCTGACTGAAAGCTTAAAAACATTAAGGGTAGGGTTCAAGTTAGAAGACCTTTAATGTAGTAGACCTGAAAATTAAACCTTCCAGTGTGAATATCAAAGAACACTTCTTAAAAAGCAGCATTTGGACAGATTCCTGTTTAAAACAGCTATTTTAGAGCATCTATAATTCTTTCAACAGAGAATCCATGGCCGCAACACATGCGTGAAATCACAGGTCTTGGAGTTGTGGATCTGTTGGATTGCACACTTCATTTACACCAACAATGGTAATGAATAAATTATTGCTACCATTCTTATTTTTCAAATTTGCATCTTGTAATCTACTTGTGTTAGAGGAGTGCTCAAATAAAAACTTGTGAATTTCCTTTACAGTCTTCTTGATGATTATCCTGTCGACCACAGAAACGTGAAGTTAAAAGCAATTAAAGAAAGGTTTGTTTGTTTATGACCCCAGTGTATTATATTTATTTACCCCTTAAGACCCAATAGTCTCCAAACTGATCTCCATACTTTTCCTTAAACATTTCATTGAGAGAATGTAAGAAAAAATCAAAGCAATGGTGATCATTTCAAGAATTCTCATTACCTTTTTTCTTGATTATATACGGTTAGTCATTACAGGGAAATCTTAGACCTCGGCCTTGATGTATTGGCAGAGCAATAGCGAGGTCAGTAGATCGAGATTTCCCAGTAATGACCGAGCGGACGAGGTTAATAAATTACTTATTGTACGGCCTTTTCATTAAAGACCTGAGCCTGAGATCAATTAAAACCAAGAACTGGTCAGCAGATAACTTTGAAAAACACGTCACCTCAATGAGCTTAACACTTAATCCTGTGATACAGTCATGTGACACTGGTCAGCGATGACCCTTTTTTGACAGCTGTCAATCAACCATAGCATGGATGTCTATAAGGGTGCCCACTATCAAGTTAAACACAGATTGTATATGCCTTGGACACCAAGCTAGTAATGCTCGGTCATCACAAGAACATAATGCCCGCTTAGCAGCCAATCAAAGCGTCGTACTATTGTAGCCATACAATAAGTTTTGATATTGTATGGAGGAAATTTATGTTGGTCAGTCTTGGGATTTAAAGTGTTCATTAGTTTGATTCCCAAATTTTCCATGGCAGACTTCTGAGAGTTAGAAGAGCTTGTCCTTTCAACCTCGTTCCCTGAGTTACAAGTAAGAAAGAACCCTGGGACCATGGTTTCAAGTCTGCTTTGTCTAATTTTTATTATAGTTTTTATTTTTTGTTTTTATTTTTCTCAGATACTCGGATGAACGTTTCATGAAAGTTAGTGAAATCAAGGTAAGCTGTTTTGCGGATGATTCATACTACATCTAAATTGGCTACTGTATTTATCTTCCATGCGAGATAAGTGAGATAAAAAGTATGATCATCATCAGTGGTCTCGAGTCATAATAGTCACTAGAGTTTATCATCGTAGAAAATTTCTGTCCCTAGATAGCGTACTTTTAAATGACTGAATTGAGGTTACACTTGAGCCTCGGTATGGGTATTTTCGACGAAGTCTAAGTCGCGACGATCGCGTAACAATTGTAATCAAGTTTGACAATGTTAGTCGTGCAATGACGGCAAAGAAATCTGCCGAAAAGTGTGCTGCATGTTCAGAGTTTTTACTTTGCTTATTTTCTCGTTTTCGTCGTCCTTGTGGTTACGCTGAGCTCACTAGCAGCGTTACCAGGCCACGCCAGACAATTGTTGATATGCGACGATTTAGCCAGAAAGACCGATTATTTGATGGATACCACACGACGAAATCGACGTCCGCAGGTACCCATACACAGAGGCTCACACTTTATTAAGTCAAAGGTAAAAATTCGCATTTCCCAACTAAGGTACCCGTACATAGTGCCACAGAATTGATTTCACTTGTTTTCGCAGGTTCCTGGACGTGAAGAATTACGTCAGTATATCCTTCCTATCGCTCTTCAATCAGCCATGCAAAGTGGTAAGCGATGTCTCGTCACTGGCCGGACAAAGTCAGCGGCAAGACAAACAGGACAAATTCATCAGGGCGGTGTTGATGACAGCGTTTTGAATACAAGCGTGGGGAGTTTGTCCGAAAGTGGTTACGATGGAGACATGGAGGATGAAGGTGATTTGAACGCCGATGAAATGCTAGATGAGGAGCTTTGTAGTGAATTCGACGACCAAGGTGTGGTAAACAAGCAGTCAAAGGACTCTTCATTCTTAAATTGGGCCGAGTCTACAAGAACTAGCTCAACGCCTAGTATTCTTTATCCCAATGGTTCTCAAAACGGATTTGATTTTGAAGTGCAAGAGATGGAGACGGACCCTGAACCGGTGTTAATTGACAATGAAATTCACAGCGCCAACGAGTTGTGCATTCCAGTTGCCTTAGAAGCGGATGATACTATGGACTTGGAAGAAAGTTGCTCAAAATCTAGACCTTCGAATGTGCAAAGAAGACAACCTCTAAGAGCTATTGAGAACGGTAATATTACAGCAAGGGCTCCCATTTCTCTGAAGTCCCAACGAAGATCGTCTGCTTGGAGCAGATCAACAACTCACTAATGTACTGTGCATGCTAGAATTTTGAATTGGGAATTCTGCCGGGGTTTCTAAGGGATTACTCTCACGAAAGGTTTTAAGAAAATATCTTGTCTCTGACTCGAGATTATTTCTCAAAAGTAAAGAAAGAAAGCTAAGGAATATTGTAATAAATTCATCTGTGATCAATGCAAAGACAACCTTAAATCGTTTCAGGACATTGTACCTTAGGGACGGACCATTAGAAAAGTTATGGGAGGGGGGGGGGATTTTGGAGCCGCAGGAATTTTTTTCGTTATCAAATTCCTTTGTATGAATTTTTTTAGGCCGTAGCATGAATATTTTTTAGGATTAATTTGCGTGTAAGAATTTTTTTTCATTTAATTTTCGCTTGCGCGAATATTATTTTTGTACTCCCCACACCATAAGTTTTTTAATGGTCCGTCCCTTAGTGAAACTTATACGTTTGTTCCCATAATACATTTTTGGGTATTTCCAAAGTACGTGTTCATTAACGGGACGTATTTTAGTGAAGTCTGGTTTATAAAGTTATGTTTTTTATATAATATTGAAAATGGTGAAACACCTTTCAAGTAAATTTCACTAAGCGAATTATCTTTTCTTCAAACGACTCAGATGTATAGAAATTCCATGCTGACACTTAATTAACATTAACTTCCTTTTTGATATAGTTGTACAAAATTTCAATTCTGCTATACATTTATGGTACAGTTAAAATTTCTTGGTCCAGGGTGTAACTCACAACGCATATGGCAAAACTTGAACATGTACGTATTCTGTCGTTTCTATTGAAGAGGGACATCTGATCGTCGTAGGGTAGTTTCATAAAGTTTAAAATAATATAAAACCCAAAAATATACATTCCATAACGCTACGGGTAGCTTAAATCATGATGATACATATTATATTTTACGATTTAAAAAGTCTGCTTTTCCGAATTTGTCAGAACTTATAAAAAATATATATTTTTTTAGTTGGCATTGTTTAGCAAATTTTCCCGCTGCAGACTATTTACGCCCTTTTTGTTACACAGGTGCTGTGCTTGTAAATTTCGATAAATTCGCCATTAGTCAGCGTTGTGACAATAAATGCTTGAGAAAAAAGATTTTCTTGTCTAAAAAGTACCCATTTTGTTCTGCTATAAATGAAAGTATACATTTTTAATACAAATCGTTAGGTAGTTAAATCTAGTGTACAATTTTGTTACCCCTGTGAAAAACTTACTCTTACATTGCGAAATATATTGTAAATAATTTATCAATGAGTTTTTGTGTAAAGAGGGATGATGTTTTTCTTGTTTATAGGGTATTTCCCGGGTGGAAATATTTTAAATGGTCGATCACAGTTGATGAGAAAGCAACTCGATACCATTATCAGGAAGTAATTCATCCTTCTGCATTTCAATCTTACTTAGTGACTGGACTAGTCCAGGCGATATGTATAGTATACTTAACTATTTAAACTCGAGGCAAATCGACACCTCTTGTATGTTTATATTTTAAATAACTTGGTTGCCGTTATATATATGCAGTGATGGTTTTGAGGGAAATATATGAATGCGTTTTAAATTTGCGCGAAAATAAATGGATTTTTCGATGAGAGTTTCGCCTCATATTTTCTAGCCCGTAAACAGACGTTGTTTTATTTTTCTATTCGTTCTTTTCAAAAATATCGGCGCGAGAACGATCAATAAATCCCCTGGAGAAAATAAAGGGTCTGTAAACCGGCCACATATTTTCATGTGTGCATATATGATTTTCAGACGGTACGAGATTCGAACGGGGGGTTACTCCCTATGATGGCGGCTTACACAAGGAGGCTCCGCTCGAAAGAGGTACCTTCTTAAGGCTCAGGTGTATGAAAGGGGAGGGATTCCATTAGTTGAATTATATGAAGACATTTTTTTTTTATGGGAAAAGGCCCAAGAGGAATAACATTAACATTTTATGGCTGTGAAAATGGTATATAAAAGGTAAGCTAAGGAGTTGGACCTCAGAGCGGAGCCTCCCCGTACTCTCCCAGGGATTCGAATCGTCGAACAATGCTGGCAGGTAAAGCTATCCATGCTGGGGGGAGGGGGGACAGTCCCTTGCTTTGCTTTAGGAGCTCCACTGAGGGTTTGAGTTCCAGGACAGCAGCGGAGTCGTAAGAATGATTTTAACGGTGTGAAAATTGGAAGAATTGCGTTCGACAAAAGCGAGTCAAACGCATCAGAAATCTTCACTTTCTTTCCTCTCCACTTATGACTTATGACTTATGACGATAACGATTCAGTAAAAACCAGATTTTCGGATCTGGAACCCGTTTATCTTGTTGCTTGCATTCATGCGGTCTTCGCAATAGTTTTCGAGATAAAAATTAATGATTGAACTATCAGTTCACAAAATGGATTTGTTTGTAGCTGACTTGCGCTTTTACTCTTAAGATGTTGATTTGAATATATGATTTCGAATCTGACAAGTTACCGAAACTTTGGAGCAATTCGGACCGCCAGAGTCTGTCGGAGGAAGAAGCAAAATATATAGATCCGTGCTGTTCCAGTCGTTCAGATTGTGGAGATTGGAGCGAAATGGAAAGCTGAAGAGGGAGAGAGGAATCTTCCTTCAAAGTTTTCCCTCCGTATTCCCCCGAGCCCCTCGATGTGTTTTCGTGCTCACTTTTCTTTGTACAGTCCCCACTATCTGAACACCCGGAACTGACTAAAACCAGTCACTCGCGTTGCCAAGGACTGTGATTGGCTTGTTCCGCTTCTGTTTGCAACTCCGACAATCTAGCCTGTGTACAGACGCTTCGCTTCCCTTTCCCTTTGGAGGGTAGGGGGACGCCTGTAGGCAGGCTACGACAATCAAGTTTTGAGTTGTAAGTGGAGTTGGGACGCTAATATTTTCCGGACTATAACTCTCTGATGTTAAAAACAATACCGAATCTGTCGTGGCTAGTGCAAAATGTTTTCCTTCGTAACCCTTTTTTTAGTAGATAAATTCGCCTGAGTCGGGGATAGTTTTTCAGGAACTTTTCGGTGGAAAACTCCTTAACGAAACCGGAAACCGTTCATGAAAACCCTCTGGCACCCAGGTTAACAAAAAGACTCAACTGCTCAGATTGAAACAGGATAAAAACAGTCTCAGGTGGTTCTATGGTTGAAATTCATAAAACGTTTTATTTTTACTTCAAAGCAATAAATGTAAACGTAAAATTTTGGGAAAATGTCAGTTAAAATTTTTGTGTATCGCGTAAATAAACGTGGTGGAAAGAAAGAACGCGTAAACGTGAAAGATGGCTATTCAATAAGACGGATTTCCATAATTGTCTCTATTTTATTGCTGTGGTTTACGTGCGTAGTTTAAAATTACGTGATGGTGAATCCACCTTAACAGAAGAAGGCTTTCGCTTTCAGTCTTTTAGGTTCACTTCACCCGTGTGGAGTAGGTGTGGAATCATCCTTTTGGATTATTCCAACGTGTACGGTTTTCCTCTGGGTTTAGTAATTTAGCAGATTGTTTTTAGCGTTAAATTTAACAACCTTCTCTTTGTCACTGTTGTAGCAGGTTGTAGTTTATTTTGTTAAAATAAAGTGGAATAAAATTAAGATGCAAGTGTAGTGAAATTGTAATTACTGTTGTTAATTACTGAACGTATTTAAAGACATCCCGTGGCGTTTTTTTCAAATCTTTTAGTAATATGCAACAATCGATATGTACGGGAGAGCGAGCTCGTCGAACAAATTTCGCTGGCTTCGTTTCAAAATTTGCTGCTGCAACGTTCGGCTAAACCCGGTTGTAACTTTGTTTTCAGCTCTCATCATCTGGAGCTTTGTTATTTGGTGCATAATTCAAGCACAAGCGGCCAACGAAGAGTTGGAAAAGTGGCGTGGATGGATAACGCTAAAGTGTACGTGGTTGTACATCGGTACGCAGGATATATGGGCGTTGTTTATCGTAGTGCTTTATGTGTCCAAGTATTCAAAGTTTAAGCTCGGCAAACCGAACGAGAAGCCAGAATTCAACGACGCCACGTATTTTACCATGCTTTTTGCTGCTGGAATAGGAATTGGTCTGTTCTACTTCGGAGTAGGTAATGGTGAAGATGTTCTTTACATAATACAAGTAAATTGTCAAACAGTACTAGGCATAGTTCCATCTGATTCTGTTACTATATCAAACCGCAGAGTCCTGAATCTGCTTTTAGCAATCGGTCAAAAGAACACACATTCTCAGCGGGTTATGAACACTACACCTCAATAGCTTCCCTTCAAATGTTCGCACTTCTAGGATTTGTTTCATAACTCAGAAGTTTTTTTAATTCATAATTCAGAAGTTTAAGTTTTCACGGCGTAACAAACAGCGATAAAAAACGCTGTAGTTTTCATTGGAATAATAATAAAGCTTGGTCATAGTTTAGGATTTCATCCGTAGACTCAAAAGTTGAGAACCAAGAAAGAACTGCTCAGTAGCGTTCAGGATTTAAATGATCAGATTGCTTTTTTGGATTTCAATAAATTTTTTAAAACTCTGTTCTTTCAGCGGAGCCGATTTGGCATTACGAACCTGGTCACTATGGAAACCGTTACTTTGGAAGGTAAGTTTATTTCCGTTTTATAGACACGTCGATAATTAATGTTAAACCCTTTCAAGTTATGTTTTGTATGCTCCTTTGACACCAATATTATATGACGAATAATATTGAATACGTGTATCGCAGAACCTCGCAAAACTCGGGGGAGGAGGCCCGTAAAATGTTAGGGGGGGAGGGCGGGAGAGAAATTGGGTAAATTGTGTAACTGGGGAATGTCTAACTGTTTCAACACCCGCTCTAATACTGAATTGGAGGTGCGATATTCTCAATCTCCTTTTGGTTGGAGTAAATTTGAACCCAGTGCCCTGGCTTTAAAAAGGTTCTGGGACTTAAATGGGGGAAGGTTGGCCAAAGTTGCATAGGAATCTTGTTCACCCCGTTTGACCCTCCTACTTGTGTAATTAATATAGTCAAAAGGAAATGGGTGTGATAGTGGATGACTGCAGGTTAATACGCAGTTGCATTTGCTTAATAAAAGCTAACCCTATGCCATCTCTAGTAATAATTGTAATAATTACTTGTGAAGAAGTTGTCAGTAGTAGTATCTGTTATAGCGCGCAGAAACAAATGTCAGTAATTGGTTTTTATGCTGTATATCAAATAATGACTGGATGAAATGGTAGGAGGTAATGCTGCAGTGAAATTGGAGAAAAAATATTTATTGTTAGTGAACTAGTAACAGCAATGAGAGTTTGTGTACTTGTCTTAGTACATATTCACACTTGACGTGTCACTGCCTTAATCTAGTTAGTGCCTCTGTTTGGTTGAAAATTTGCTTCAACTAATCAAGAGTTTATCAAGAGTACCATTTTTTTTTTCTAAGAAAAAAAGCCCTGCCAGGGCTTTTCCCTTAACCCGCCCCACCCATTTTTTTAAGGGAAAAGCCCTGGGGACGAGTTAATCGGTCAACAGCAGGTTGGTCAGCAATCAGCAGGCGTTGAGGCTGTTTTCGAGCCAAAATTTAAACGAGACCATTGATATCAATATTCTTATCACATCCTGGTTACTAGACGTAGTCTCCCGTCTTTTCACAGAGAGGAAAGAGGGGGTCTCCAGAACCCCTCACCTTAACCCCTCACTTGGTACGCCCCCATAATTACTCATTGTTAGTTTTTAAAATTCGTTAACCAAACGTATAAAACCATCGCTGTTCTTTATGTTTTAGGATGCGAACTATTCAAGAAGTTTCCCTGTAATCTACAATGTTTTTTTTTTGTTATAACTTCAGATATTCCGACAATCAGCGCGCTCAAGATGCTATAAACTTAACGCTTTTTCACTGGGGTATCCACGGTTGGATTGTGTACGTAGTTGTGGGGCTCCTCTTGGCCTTCCTGAGCTACAGAAAAGACCTGCCCATGACAATAAGCTCTTGCTTCTACCCGTTGCTAGGAGACAGGATCTACGGATGGATGGGTGAATTCATAGACGTCCTCTCCGTTGTGTGTACCATGTTTGGTGTTTGCACCAGCTTGGGCCTTGGCGCCATTCAGCTCAATACTGGATTTCAGCGACTAAATAGCAACATTGCTTTCAGTACAACAAACCAGATTATTACCATCTGGGGTGTTACGGCGTGCGCCACGGTCTCAGTGGTCAGCGGATTGAGGCTGGGCATCAGACGGTTGAGTGAAGTGTGCTTTTGTATTGGTATGTTTTTAATGTTGATTGTCCTGTTCTACGATGATACGTGGTACCTGCTTAACCTGTATGTACAAAGCGTGGGCTACTACCTGCAGTACGTGCTACAGCTGGGATTCCACACAGATGCTTTCGCTCAGCTCGGTAATGCCCCGGATCAGCTGGAGGCCTCCGATTGGATGAACGATTGGACCATTTTCTACTGGGGATGGTGGATAGCCTGGTGTCCCTTTGTTGGCATGTTCATCGCCAAGATTTCACGCGGCCGCACAATTCGAGAATTCATCAACGCTACAATGGCAGCGCCCATTCTCTACTCCTTTCTATGGCTCAGCATTTTTGGAGGAGTGGGTTTGCGCATGGAACGAAACGCGGCACTGGCCAACATCACGTGTTCATCAGCCCTCGGAGGAAAAAATTCAACTGATAGTTTCCATGGTGTATATCGTCTTTCGTGTCGATCGAAGACAGATATGTGGTTTGATGTGATGGACCAATATGGCGATCTTGGAACATGCCTCTCTGTAGTTTCCCTGATTGCAATAATTCTTTACTTCGTAACAAGCTCAGACAGTGGCTCGCTTGTCATTGATTGTCTATCCGCTAATGGTGATCCCGACCCTCCCATCCCTCAGCGTGTATTTTGGGCCTTAACTGAGGGGGCTACAGCTACTGCTTTACTATACGTTGGAGGAACCGATGCTCTGCAAGCACTCCAGGCCGTCTCCATAGCAGCTGGTCTACCTTACACCATTCTCCTTTGCTTTATGTGCGTGGCGCTTTGGAGAGCTGTTCAAATGGAAGCCGAAGATTTGGATCCTTTCGGGCCACAGTGGAGGCTTTCGTTGTTTGCTCCAATTAGCAGCCCCTCGTGGAAAAGTACCTATAAGTTCCTATTAGCTGTCTTGGCTCCCTGGTATGTCATTGGGCTTGCTGCAGAAAAGAGAAAAGCAAGTTCTTCGAAAGTTTTGGCATGTAATATGGTACTTATGGGGGTTCCTTTCTATGCATGGATTGGCATGATGATAGTAGAGTTAATTCCTGTCAAGGGAATCTCCTACGTAGGCTGGGCCGTCCTCTTCTTGTTCTTTGCGGTTGCAACAGCCATCAGAACCAACATCAGAGTTGCTGATGGTATCCATGGCAACATGGTAGAAGACTTCTTCGCGGTCATGCTGCTATATCCCTTTGCCGCATTTCAGATGGATCAACACGTGATGTATTGCCTGAACGAGAAGAGGAAAAAAGAAGACGCTGAGAATGGTGGCACGTACCAGAACCCTGTTTACGGAAATGTCGCCAGGGACGAAACTGAGGAAAAGGAAATAACTGCTTTATAAGAAGAAAACAGCGCTTTCAGGCCGTGTTGCCTAATTCAAGAATAAAGAAGTTTCGAGTCTATTGTATACCGTTGAAACTTTTTTGCTGCAGGTGCCTTACTATCCTTTATTGGACTCATGCAACTTACGAACTTCAAACTGTTTCATAAGTTGACATTTGTCAGTACTATTTTGTTCCAATGTGGAACTTTTGAAAGTAAAACGTAGCCGGCAACTCTCTACTTAGCTTAAAAGTCAATGGCAGTATGTTAATGCTTAACAACGATTTATGTAGTTTTCATATTTCAACTTCATTGTGCATTTTTTGTTACAAAATCGCAACCTAAAAAGAATTGCCGTTGGCTTTGAGGCCTCATTCAAAGGTCAATCGACGAATAAGACCAAAGTTCAGTGCATAAAGTGTGAAAATAAACAATTTTCTGGTAATTAACTGACTCTGTCTTAAATTGTTTGTCCTTGATTAAAAAAAGTTTTTGCTCTTGCAGGGCGTCAGGCTGTTACAGCCCTGAACTGCAACAGACTGCGAGCAGTAACTTAATTTTCTTCCAAATTAGCGGAATGACACGCGTAACATGCGCGCGAGAGACAGGTTTTCACGTACATATCGCACGTGGCGACAAGGGGTCCAATTTCGCCAAGTAAAAAGTTTCAAGGTGGGGTAAAGCGGTCAGCCGGTGTCGGATTTTTGTTAAATCAAATTCGCGCCAAGTTAGATTAGAAAAATACTAAATATAATAATCTTGACTGGAAAGACCGCCCAAGGATTTAAGCGCCGATATTTTTTTAATCCCACTTGAAGGGGTTACCTAACCTACCTGGGGTCCCTCACCTCTATTGATGATAGGCATGAATCTTACAGAGGTTTAGTAGCCGTTAAAACAAAGAATCGTTGCCGGTTGTTTACCATTTACATGGACAAATTACCTGTCGGTTCACGGTTTGGACAAATGGTAAGATGGTAAAATTCAGGACTGGTGAATTTCATTCCGGAATCGTGTTTGTCATTGGTACAAATCAGTTCCTTTTGCCGAAATCTAAATCTAAACCTAAATCAAGTACTATAAACAGTTCCCAAAATCGTCCGCGAAAGCCTGAAACTAGTATCAATTTCTGTTTGGAAGAATCCTTCCGGAAAAAAACAAAGACTATCTTTTCACAAGTTCCGTTGCTCCCAGAAATTTTCTACCGGAACGACCCGAAAAGCCGTGTTCCATTTATCAGCCGAATTTTCAGGAAACGTTTTGTAAATGGTAAACAAACTGATAATTCTCTTGTTATGACTTAATAGATTTAAATAACAAAAACATTGTTTGTATAATCAGCAAGTTTTCACGATGAGTTAGCACGTGCAACGCGACAGCCAATGAGTAAACTCTTTTCTTAATATTATACCACTAAATTGCTCAGCGGCGCCGCGATCAAATTAAAATTTTGTGATCACTGTTCAACTGGCGAGGGACGACGAGAAAGAACACGATGTTTTATTGACTCAAGAAGAATATTGCTCTTTCACATGACACCAGTCTATCTCGCCGTCTGTGTCAACTTTACTGCAATATGTGAACGTAAGAGGCGTTTTGAGTTTAAGAATAGGAAACCAAAACATGCAAAAGGTAGGTACGGGTCGCTTTTGAATTTTAACTTATTGGTTCTACTTCGGTAGCAATTTATTCTAAACCGCTCGTTATTTTTTAAACTTTGTAATATTCGTATGTTACAAGCCACTTTTTATCCTGGGTTTTGATGTAGACTTGACCTTGCGCATGCTTAAAATCAAAGCAATTTAGTGGGCTCAGCTTATACGGTCTTTAAACATCAATTAGTAAGCGGTATTTAGTGCGAAACCATTAAGAAGTTAGCCTAAGCATTTATTTGCTATAATGTTTTGACTCAAGCAGTATTGTAATTTTAAATGTTCCTTCACACCTAAGCAAAACAATTATCATAGTGAGTCCGATCGAACTCCTTACATAATAAATGCATGGACTGGCCTGTTATATACTTTTCCGTCGAGTTGTATTTCAGAAGAAAATGAACGATATCGGCTTCCCACAGGGGTAGCTCCCCCTGCCAACCAGGGGAATATGTCGGGGAATACAAGGGGATGGTTTAGATTCTCTTCCCAGGGGAGGAGAAAAAAAGATCACGGCATTGTCTAAAGTTCCAAGGAAAGCGGTGGGGGAATTAAACTTTGGTAAAATCTCTAACAGCTGCATGTATAATTCTGGTAATATTCTGTTAATATTTTGTTGTAATATTTTAACTGAGGGAGCCCATTCCTTATAAGCCCGGTGGCTTCCCTTGGGTTTCCTCTCCAATTTATATTTTCTTGTTTTTTTTTTGTACATCATTATGGCAAAACAATAGACTGAGCTGAAAAAAACCGAACATTTGCGCATAAATCAAATACAATTACGATTTTTGCATTTTAATCAACATTCAATAACACTTTTGGGCATTTATATGCGTCATTCCCTACGTAAGAAATCGGCTTCTTTTAATCCGCCGTCCAAACCCCTGTGTCGTAACCTAGCGATAACTGAACTCTCTGTCGCTGCTATCGTACAGCCCTTGTGCGTGGTTCCCCTGAATTGGATTTCGGTGTTAAACAAAACCTGGAATACCTGCATCTCTACGCCTTTGAGGCCGTTTCCATCACAGCCTGTATATTGGCTCCTGTGTCATTATTTTATAATGAGATCAACTGGGGCTCAAATACAAAGAATTTGTAACTCGAAAGAGATCATTAACAATCGTAGCCCTATATGGGTTTTGTCCTTTATTAGCCTAATCAGCCACGTATTTCTTTTAATAATGGCGTGTCTCTGTCTAGTTACCTTAAGTTTTTCGTATACACAAAAATTCTCCTCTCACTGTCTCACTACAAAATTCAACTTCCAAGCCAGGTTTCTCAAGTACCGAGCCAAGCAATTCCACTGAACATAGCTCGACACAGAAAGGGCGTTAGCCTTGGGCCAGGCTCAGCAGTGGGGGAAAAGGCAAAGGCAATGTGGAGCCTGGTACCGAGATAAAAGGGCGTCTACAGTGTACTGAGGGTGCAAGTAGCATTAATTATATAGGTCAAATAGGAATCCATGACTTCATCGGTTGGCTTGGCCGGTCATTAATTTATAGTCTTTATGGTCTCTTTGGTATTTCCTCCTTAAACCCTTTTCTGGCTGTTGGAAGATCGGAAAAATGAGGCAAGCTGAGAAAAACACATTCATGCACATTTTCTGCTCATCGAGTTAGCTTAGTATTTATATTATGTGTTATACTGTAAATACAACTCTCAACTTTTAATGGAGTGTGTCATTAGAGAGGGATGTCATTTTCAGTTAATTAAATCTTGTAAAATACCATATTTCCGTTAAGGTTAACCAGACCTCTTCTCGAATAATGTTTTTATTTTTGGAAGATGGAAATAATAATTATAATAATAATTTAATATTTATGTTGCGCAAAATACATGTAAATATGATCAAATGCGCATTACATGAAAGTAAATTATCGACATTAATAAGTTATCCAAAATAACTAAAAATATTGTATAAAAAAACAATGGATCTATAAAAATATAATATATACATAACCCTAAAAAATCCTAATAAAAAGCTAATCTAAAAAAATGGGTCTTAAGTAAACCATTAAACCTATGAAAATTGGGCTCATTTCGTATTTGTGATGGTAACCCATTCCACAGTTTAGGTGCCGCAGCTAAAAAAGCACGGTCACCCATTTTCTTTTTAGTTAAACACAACCTTAGCACGCTTTTTTCTATCCTCTTTGTCCGGTCTTGGTGGGGACTGAGAAGTGATTAGCCACACGAATGGCCACATTCTACCAACAACTCAATACGAAGCCACCCGCAAAAGATAAAAACTCCTCTCTCATTTTCCCTTCAGACTCTTCAGACACAATATTGAGAATGTTGCAAATAATATTAAAATAAAATACGATGGTTTAGCTCTCTAATTGGGTTAATCATTTTTTTCCTCGGGTAAGGTTGCCTTATTACTCACATTTTGTAGAAAATTTGGTGGAACTTAACCATTTTACAAGAAGTTAAAAAAAGCGTGCTTTTATATTTTCTTTGTTTAGTCCTTGCCGGAATGTCTCTCTGCTCGGCTGAGGCGCTCATGGTGGTTCCCAGTGGTGCCAACAGTCGACCTCTATGCCGGCGCTTCCAAGCTTTGCAAGTCCTGTGCCAAAGTACGAATTTCTTGTGGAAGGGGAGATTTTCAAAATAAAAGGTGGAAGTGAAGGTGGTATTATGCCTAATAGGCTAATACGGCACTAGTGCAGTTCATAATTTGCGTGGTCCAGCCGCGGATGTCGCATATACACAGCCTCGGGCCAGTCGTCCTCGGCGATTTCGGATGTGACGTCACCTGTCAAGCTTCAAAGGAAAACAGCCCACGTTCGATATCCAATCAAACCCCGTTAATATGGACACTGAGGGGGCCATAGAAAGTGTCCGTATCAACAGAGGGTTCGTATTAAGAGGGTTGAATTTAGAGAAAATTCAAGGGCTTTCTTTCCTCAGGGTGGAAGCGAACTGTCCGTATTCATGTTTATCACCGCTGTTTGTGTTTTATTTTTGATCAAACTACGATTAGTGATTGGGATTAGGAAACTGAGTGAATCAGGTTCCATTAAGGGTCATTCAATGTTCTGTTCTGTTCTGCATTCGCCGAACACCAAATGCACAACCCCAAATGACTCTGAAGCCCGGGGTGGGGGACTCCACATATGAAAGGGGTGGGGATGCTCGTCTTCTTGCTTAGGGGTGTAAATTTCGGATTTTGGTCTCATTTAGGGTGTTCTGGGCAAAACGCCATCATATTTAGTCGTGAAGGTCTCGTTTAGGGTTGCACAAGAAAAAATATAAAAATATATATTTGATATGTATATTTTAATTCGCTTTATTTACTCCATTCATATAATCCAAGTTTTCTCATTTGTCTGTGTTTTAACATGGTCTCTTTTAGAGGTCAAAA